TATAGGGCTAACATTCGACTCTTGTTTTGTGTCGGAATACACGTTTCCACCTAGACATAGCTATACACGAGTTTTGTCAAACTTTCTGAAGAACCTAACGAGCAGCCTTTTGATTTTATTCTTATCTATACACGCATGTGACTTACTATTGTGCTATATTTAAATCGTTTCATTTCTTGGTCCGGGCAGGATATCGCAAAAGTCACTGTCAATGGCTGTTGCATGTTGCTTGACTTCGACAGTAATGAAGTGAGACCTTGTATTTATACAGTGATGTAGTCGTCTTTCATGAATATGTATGTTACATAGCTCTTATATTACCTATTGGATACATTTCACAGAAAAGCTCAACGCAAGCCACAAACGAGAGAAAACTGATATTATACAGCAGCTTAACAAATACAAAGAAGAAGCACAGTTAGCGCGGAATCACATATGCGTTTCGCAAGAGGTCTGTACCTTTCATCGTTACTCAACTAGGTAATTATTCATTGTTTGTAACGGGAAATATTATAGAAACAGGATGAACCTAGAGTTCTAATTAGGAAGCTTACTTCGAGGCACCTCTTTGCTTTCTCACTCTTAAAAAGATTACTACTTCCTTATTGCGGAACACTGCATGTTTAATCTTGTATTCTGTTAAATTTTCTATTTAGTCTGCCAACAGATCTGATATCTTATCCGATCATATACGTATGTATGTTCGAGGAGACTGACAGAATTGGTATTCAGATGTCTCAGGTTTGGCAATTCGCTCTATAGGTGCTTCCCGAAGATATTAAGAGGGGGCTCAGGGTACAATCCGGTCATGAACTCAAAGCTCATATAACTCCGTTTCTATCGTGTTTCTTCTACTCCATCATCTATTCAAATCAATAACTATGGTTTTCAAGTAAAATTTTAAAATAGTTCTTTGCGTATGACAAAATACGTGAATTTGCCTTAATTTTGGTGACATGATTGTGATGTGACAGATCCGCGAGGAAAAATGTAAGCTGGAGCAGGAGCTGCGAACACTTAGAACAACTGTCGATAGCCTCCATCAGAAGGAATTGGAGCTGCAGTTAAAAGTGACCGAACAATCAATCCTTCTTAGGGAAAAGGAGCATTCAGCGAGTCTCTGGGATAGTGGTAATGATGCCATTATGAAGATCTGCCAGCTTGCCAATATCTCTCCCGCTGTTGACATCGTTGGCAAATCTGAAGTAAGTACCCAATTTCATTCTCAGAATTACCTATTATATACATTTATCCAAAATGCGGACCCATATTTTATAGAAATGTCAACGAATGTTTGGTGGCTTTTTTGATGACTTTGGGTTTCGAACAGGACAAATATATACTACTGTTGGACGCATGTTGCGATCGATTCCGCGCGTTTAGGGATGGCTTATCACAAAAGACTCTCGAGCTGGAGCAGGCAAAACGAAAATGCGACGAGCTGCGAGTGTGTATCGGGGCACTCGAAAAAGAGAATCACGTACTAAAGGTAGCCGTTTAGGGTAATTCATTTATTTTCCTGTTACATAACGCTGCTTGATTTCTGTGCTTCTCGCTTCTCAATCTCATAAACTAATCGCTTACTTATTTATTGCTTAGGAAAAACTTGAGCACAATAATTCCGATACCGAGAGCCAAAGCGAGACCGCCAAGTTAGGTCATCTCAAGGCTGCCCAAGTGGCCCGGGTTGCTGCGGAGCAGCTCGAAAGTCATAATTTGCAGCTTAAACTTCAAGTACAGACACTTGAGGAGCAAAAATCGAAACTACAGTTGGAGCTAAAGAACCTTATTAATGTCGATGCAAAGCATAAGGCCGAAATTGCCGGTAGGTCTATACATTCTCATAGATTTTTACCCAGCTTTACGGTGGTAGTATTACTAACATTCTATCTGGTTTTAGATAGGCAATTTTGTTTTGCAGTAACTAAAATATCTAAAAACTGATAATCTTGTTAAAGACAACAGTTTTCGTAGTAAACTGTCATCCACACTCAACGTAAATATTAATTTCAGCAGTACTTGGCTTATGGCGAACCATCTGTTTTTTTTGTAGTACTATAAATAAAATGTAAACGAGCTATTTGTTTTCGCTTTTCTTTTAGAATTAATGAACGAAACCCGCCAACTGGCCATCGAGTGCCAGCGGGCTCGTGAAGATGCTACAGAGGCTCGGCGCTTAGAGGAGATGGCCAAGGATTTCATGGAAAATGAAAAAGAGTTCGCGAGAAAAGAAGCCAATGCGATGGCTACAGCCCGACTTGAGGAAGGTTAGTCTTTAATTATTTAAGTATACGATAGTATGATTTGAATGTTTCATTAGCTGTTCTATGCGTCTGCGAACCTGCAACAGGCTTCTGTGTGTATTTTTTTCATTTTTTGATCCATGTATCAATTTCATATATTTGGCTTGAATGGCTTACCCTCTGGGTGAAAATGGCCGAAGCTTGCTAATTTGAATACTGCCACGACAAGTGTGAGTAAATAACACATTTCTTTGTTGTAATCTTTGTCGAACAGAGGTGCGACGCATGGAATCACAGTTGGCTCGCGAAAAAGAGGCAGCCAGTGAAGCTATCGCGAGGCAACTGCGAGCGGAATGCGTTCGCCAGTTGCAGGAAAGACTCACAAAGATGGAGCTTCAGAAGGATGAGGAACTCCAGCGAGTTTTGGACACCGAAAGGAAAAGTGCTCAGAGCAAGGCTGATGAGCTCCATGAGAAGTCAGTTGTAATGCTTAGCCACACGTTTTAAGAACAATTATGATTATTCAGAGAAAATAATAATAAACGGCTGACACCTTACAGCATATGACATGATGCCGCCAAGGTTCAGTTTCAAACATGATCACCTTTTATGTGTATCCAAATCTAGTGGAAAAACGTTTTACACCATAAAGAAAAGATGTTGTTACTTTTTTTTTAGTTTTAGTTAAGCGCGTTTCTATTATATTGAAGATAAATTTGGATTGGTACCAGTTAGTCGTGTATACATATTAGAACGTTATACGCAGTTTAATCTTGATTTTAAGCCTTCTAAGATTCGAAATCAACGTAAAACCACTTCAAAATGACTCAGAAGCTGACAATCAATGAACATTAAGTTTGGGTATCCAGAGCGTTCCGTCTGATCGCGATGAAGTTCTTGTTCTGATATATGTTATGACTTCCTATTTTGTGTAAGGGTGGTTATTCTCACCGAGGAGATAGACGAACTTCGCAAAGAACACCTTGAAGCTTGCCAGCAAAAAAAAGAAACTACCGAACGGCTGAAAAAATTTGAGACTGATCTTGACGAGGCTCGCTATGAACTCACGCACAAGGACGATCAAATAGCGAGGTAAACATGGTAGCTGTAATGCTATTGTCGTCTTGTATGAAGAATAATGCACAAAAAAACTAGCCAGCACTGTGCAATCGCTAGCTAGTTTAAGATAAATTGACGCCACAAATAATCTCGTCTTGTAATATCTAGCTTGACAAAACAGAGCATTTATCCACTTGGTTAATAAAAAGGTAACATATGAGGAATTTTTGTTTGTTGGTATTTGATCATTGTTGGCCTGACTTGCATGCGTTTCAGGTTATGTCTAATTTAAACCGTCGATTTTATGAGAAACTAATAATAATAAAAAAAAAATTATATATATATTATTTTATTATACATGGCACATGTCGTCTGCTGCGTTTTGTTCTTGTGTGCACCTGCAGGTTGAAGTCACAAGTCGAAGATATGAGGCTCGAAGATGAAGCTCGCGTCGGCGAGGTGGCTGAAATGCAAAAAAAAATGACAAATCTACAGGCTGCTGTGAAAAAAGCGAAGCTGCTTTTAGTCAAAACCGAAACTGAAAAACAAACGACAATGGAATCGCATCAGAAAATAGAAAGCGTATGTGCTGAATCCAATCTGATTAACACCTTGATGTGTTACCAAAGATGTCTATCTGACAAATGTGGTTCAATTTTAAGTCGTCCAAAGTTGCCGTTGTATTGCAGTCTCTAGTTTCTAACGTGTATAGGTGTAGCCGTACGCTGGTTTTAATTAGGCTTTAAACAATGATCATAGTGCATCTTTAATGTCCAGTGTCTCCATGGGAAGTGTAATACTGAATAGGAGGCTTCAATAAGAACAGTGTCGCATAGCTTTGGAAATAGCAATGCGATATTTTTTTAACAACTTGGAAAAGGAGATTGTAGACAAAAAAGGAAATTCAAAAAAGAACAAAAACATTGAAATTCGAAGTTTCGTCTTACAACGGAGGCTTACTGAAATTGATCTTTCACCAAAAAACATAGGTTGCTTCGAGGATGCACGATATGTGGCAATACTACGCGATCAAACGAAATGTTTCGCATAAAAGTGAGTAATTTAGACGAATCATAAAGTGTGTATCTAGTGTCATTAGATTTGTTAACTTTTCAGGAAAACCGAAATTTACAAGCGAAATTAGACGCATCATCTCTTACTCTTAGCGCAATGCAAAAACGGTGTGAGAAGTTGGAAGCGGCCTTACATGTGCTAGGTCCTCGGGATCAGGAATTGCCGGGCGGATCTGGTGATACGGTCATGCAAGATACCTGTGCGAAGCTTTCTACGGAACTTAACGATTGCCGAAAAAGACTGCTTGACGCTGAAAAGGAGAATACTAAGTTGCATGGACAGCTCAGACACAGACGGAGTACCATAGAGAAAGTCCGTGATCAGCTTGTATCGATAAAGGTTCGTTTTTTTAGCTTTTTTATAAAAGAGTTATGAAACTTGCCAAGTCAACTGCTGATCAACCTTTATTAAAGCTTTTACCGTTTGAACTGCAACAGGGCACCCTTGCAATTCAAACGGTATGGGTGGTACATAATACAATCCAATATAAATTTTTGCTAAATAAATTGGAGTACCATATTTTTATTTTTGCACTATTTTGCGTCAAAAATAGGTAACTTATTATTATTAGCAATTTTCGCAGTCATTATTCAGCAATTCTTGCAGCTTATTTAAATTTTTGTACTTTCTAGTTCTACCTGTGTGTAATCATCTTCTTCGGGATTCAAAGCTACCATCTTAAATAATTTTCTTATCTCCCGTACAGGAACAAGGTCATAGATACGTCGCTGAACGTCGTTATTTCGTACAGATAATTGACAAACTCGAAGATGAAGTGGCTGCTTGGAAGCGACGAGAGACAGATGTTCGGGTTGCGCTAGAGGGTGTGACCGATAAGGTCATCGAAACGCTGGTGGCAAGACACGAGTTCATACCTTGCAAGGTCAATGTATTTGGCATTGCTACCTCTTAATCTACGCATTATTACATTTTATAATGGTCTCCGCTCGGATTTTACAGGAGGTGTTACCTTTATGTACTTCATACATTCATTTGTAATTCGTTTGTAAAGCGGATGGTGTAGTTAAGTCTACGTTTATATTATTATGACAAGGCGAGCCCGTACTCCGAACCATCAATCACGTGGGTAGTTTTGCCTTTACATTGAGGTAGTATGCGGGTAATAGCTCTGTCGGTGCTCAAGGAAATCTATGTGATTGTGATTCCAGGCATGGACAGAACCCACCCCGTTCGCACATAAGCTACATGTCGGGTAGCTTATATGCGATGGAATCAGAGCGCAAATTATATACCTGTCAGTAAAGACAGCAATAACTATTTTATATTCATTGTAGTTTTCAGAGGCAAGAGGACCGATATATATGTATATATTTAGAATGTAACAAAACGAAAAGTACCTACAATATATGCCAAACTATTCACTATTTTTGCCAGTCTTTGAATAATTGTATTTAGGTGAAGTCACCTGGTAAGTATGCGTTAGAGGATATTAATTATGACAAGAAAAATACATAATAAAATCTGCGGAAGTAGGTTTAAGCAAAACAAAGGAGTAGTATGTTACTTTTTTTTTTAAATATCGTAGTTAGTAGCAAAGACAACCTTTAATATATTAGAAAACACCCAATGCGGAACTAATAACAATCTAATAGCAAAGTAAGTAGCAGTGAACATGAGAAGGGTATATATATATACGAACACTATTCATTAGTGTTTACACCACTTTTATATATGCACTTTTATATTATATATATATTACTCCACTTTATGCTTTACTCTCCTCATGTTCACTGTTACTTATTTTATTACTAGATTTTTATTTAGTTCTGCATTGGGTGTTTTCCCTATATATATATAATATAGAACATGTTCTTCCATGTGTCCTACAGTAATACACATGTCCTACGTAAGTTACACACAGAGGCATATATGCAAACGTACGCCGGGTAAACTCTTAAACAACTTGGAAAATTGTATTCAGTAACAAAAAGTGATCGTCACGACTTATATTTTATTAAAGCAATCTTTCAGAGAGGTGACATATGTTTGTTTTCTTTGCTATTGATGTGATGCAATAACCATAATGCGGTTTCTGTCATCAATCAAATTTACTCAGCCGGGCCTGTTATCAAACTACATGGTAGTGCATTTTTGAACAGCTGTTGATTTACCGTAAAACGAATATTTCGAGTTTTGTTCGCCCAGTACTTTTTATTATTATTATTATTCTTTATTTGTATGCACGTCTGGTCTTAAAATTAAAGTACCTCATGTGTCTCTAGCTTTAGTAGGCGAATACTGTCGCATTGCACTCTCATTTTTGTGCTACTGGGCCCCATGATACTGTGGTACCTGTATACGCAGCACTGTGTATTATTACCGTTAAATTATACTGTCACATGTCATAATTATAATTATTTTTAGACATCGAGGATCACAATACATCTGAATGATTTAGGCTCATTGTTATTGCATATAGTAAGATACGGATCATTTGAATCGACAGATACGTGTTCGACCAGAGGCTTCTATATGAGCCTCTCAGCGAAATTATATCGAATGCACTACTTCATACATTGCAGTTGCAGTAACTATTAATAGTATGAACATTGATACTTTTATGATTTCTATGGTAACTACTGGATTAGGATAAATTGCCAGGATGTTCATTTTTAAAAGGACTCTGGGTGATGAGTCCTTCGCCGTACTCTCCGGTTTGTTCCGCAGACAGTGTTTCTCAACTATATATTAAAGCAAACATTAGATTTGCGAGTTTTTCGTACGAAAATAACGAGTCAACTCACGATTAACAGTATTCAGTTAGCACGAAGTTTAATTATAGATGATACCTATGTCCTTCTGCTTGATAATGACGAAGATTCAGAACATTTTTCGATGGAATATCCAACTCGCGAATATAACTGTGCATAAGCTGATGTTAACCTCTCATCATTACAAATATTAATTCTATCGGTGAATCTGGCATGTTCATAAATTACTAGGATTTGATTTAAACGATCATCTTCTATAGGTTGATTAGTAGTGGCTCCTAAAGTCGTACTAGATTATTTGGATGATCTACTTATCCTGTATAGTATTCAAGCGCATTTTGATGCCATACCTTCGGTGCCTATGTGGATTTAGCACGATGCTGTAAACAATACATTTGCCACTGTCGTTGTAATCATCTGGAGGCAATGTTATGCACCTTAAGTTAATAAAGTTTAAACACTAGTTTTATTTACAAGATATTATCCATTTATAGATAAACTAAGATGGTTCATCAATTATGAGATTATATGATTAGTGTATTTAGCAAGCATAAATCTGTCTTAGCGCGTTTTCTGACGCATTTTGCCAGGACCAGCGTTATGCACCGCACTCCGTTTTTACGAGATATTGGCGTAAATAGCTTTGAAGAATGGCAATTGACTCGGTAGGCTTACTTCGTTCTTATATAAGAATTCGACCTAACGTGTATTCTGTATCTACGAAGGTCTGATAAGGATCCTGTCGTTAATTAAGTTAATACCTTTCGGTACAGAAGACACTGGGGTATTTAGCGAATCCAGCTTAACTGCTGGCCACCTAAATGTTAGGGGCCCACAGAGAAAATCAAGGAAAGTGCAAACAAAAGCTACACAGCCGAGTTGTTGCCGGATTCTCCTGAGTAAATAACCCTAAAGCAGGTTTGGCGCTTGACAGCGAAGCAACTCTAATTAGGGCGGGGAACTGGGCGTCTGATCTCTTTGGCTAAAATCTACCATAGATCTGCATTGTCAAACAACACACAGGGCACTATATAGGATAAATGTGCAGTGCTATTTTCACTGGTAACGTCGTATACCATGACTCAGACGTGATAATTTCAATGGATCGAAATTGTTTTTATCTATCGGTAAGGTAAAAGCTTGCAGTCATTTTAAACATCGCAGACTGGATTCTGTGGAAAGAGATAATTAGGAGAATATCGAACAGGTTTCTAGCTTTAGCTAAGCATATTTTTTGTTGAAAGTCAAGCATAACCTAGTGTAAATAAGAATTCAGAATTCGAAAGCTGTATATAGCTAGTTAAACAGATGAGTCCCTTAAGAAGAGGCCTATTTCTTTTAAGTTGAAATTAATGCTTTTACAGTCCTAAGCACTTTTAATTTCTTAGAGCAAACAAAGCATTTTCCACCCTTATACCATCTAACCCGCAATTTTTACATATCTTCGATGTGCTTGTATTTACAGCAGCGCCATAGGAATCCTAATTATTAAATGGAAAACAAAGCAAATATTTCATAGTCATTGATATTTAAATAATGTAGCAAATTTGCTTTGTATCCAAAATTGAGAAAATTTCTGGTTACTCGTTGATATTGTTTACTACTCTGACAGAAATACGACGTAATTTGAAAAATTCTAAAATATATATTGAAAAAAAAAAAAAAAATATATATATATATATATATGGACAAATCATTCATATCATAAGCTTACAAAGACGGTGCATGTCCTACGCTAAAACTCCCTCAATGTATTTAATTACGTAATGACAGTGTAGAAAAAACAATGACCGCTTTAAAATGCTTTCGCAAAGTATCTACATTTTATTCAAAACTAGCTAAAATCACAGCAAGCACATGTTATTAGCACTGCTATGTTTAAATACACTCCTGTATCCCTATTTAAAAAAAAAATTAATATACAAGAACAAGATCTTCTATTTGTTTCTCTTCGACTTTTCACTTTCGTCTATACAGTACTGAAGAAAATCTCTCAGACTTTCAAATTCCGTCCTTCCACCTGTTTCCGTTTTCGGTATTCGAGGCAACATTTCTCCTACTTTCTGGCGGAATTCCTTGAGCTAAAATCGTCAAACATACGACAGGTCAATAATTAAATTCAAACATCTTTTAAACAAGAGTCAGAGAAAAAAGGTCTCACTTAAATATTATAGAGGGCGTGTAGAACATATGATGATTTTCCATGTTAGATGAAGCACGCTTCGGCTTCTATGATAAATGAAACTAACGTCTTTTACATTGAGTGCCTTCCAGACAACTCCGCAGAAGAGACCGAACCCTCCGACAGCGTATAGCGTCCCTCTTCCCAGCGCACGCAATGCTAGGTCAGTTCCACTCTCAGGCATCTCCTTAGAACCTACCATACCCTGAAACGAGGCCATGCATCCAAAAAATATTCGAATGTAGTTTCAGCTTATAAGAATGACCTATTCCTTTTATACAGGCTACTACACCCGAGAAAAACATGCCATACTTAAAGTATGAGAATATAATAATGAAATATGTATATATATATATTTCAAGAGCGGGAGAAAGTGTTCATACCTGCAACATGTGTCTTCTAAAGGCACCTAAAACTACTTAAATATACTCATTTTAATTTGTATGTAAATGCATCTAAGTCTAAAAGGCTTTCGTTTTCTATACTTTACCTGCGCAAAATATTTAGGTGAGTGTTTCTTGGCCATAGCAATTGTAGCCCCAAAGCCGAGGAGTAATGAGAAACCCGCTACTGCTCCCATAAAAACAATTTCTGTGAAAAACAGAATTCCGCAAATACAAAATATTCATTAGTATAAGCAAGTAATTTATTACATATTTTTACAACGAACGATAAATGTGTTGGCGAGAATACTACTGTTTCAGATCATTGGATACATATAATAAAATGAGAAACAACAATCTAATATTGTCAAGAAACCTTTGTTTTAAAATGGTGCCAAAAACCCACATCATTACTATTTTCCTCTCCTTTAGACTCCTGCTTATGTCTGAAGAATCCAGATGACTAAGAAGGCTTCAAGAATTCCGCTTTCTAACTCGAAAAAGCTTTAGTGTATAAGCAGACTAAATCGTTGCTAAATGTAATGACCTGTAGTTCGTTTCAGGTCATTCATTTCAAAGTGAATTTTGTTTATACAAAGCTATAATTCGCATGTCTTTCCGTATTTCCGTGCGCCAGGTTTGTCCCCTGCAGTCCTCTAGAAATGCTGGAAGGATCCCAAAGCTAATTCTGTGTTCCGTACGTAATTCATAGCCAAACCGAACATGTTAATAACTATCAGCTTTATCTGTGATGTGAAGGCGCTCGCTAACATCATTTTTATTTTTCGAAACAATTAATACACTGCGCTCGTGTGCCCAGTTTCTGTTGACAAGAATAATCAGTTCTTCAAGGGTTTGTCATCTCTCATTATCTGCATATATTTAGTGATCCCGCGTATAGTCATAAAAGGGTAGCACGACAATATATTGTACAAAACAAGCCATGTCAGAAAATGCCAAACTAGTATTACCACGTTCGTGGTCTCCAGTCCACGATCAGCTCAAGTAAAATAACTGTCCATATCGAACATTGTCAGATCACAGCACAATTAACAGAGATTAGAAATATCTTGTATGCGCTAAACAGAAGGAAAACAGCGTTTAGCGACTTCTAACCGATAGCTAACTAATAACCGATTTCCTAGCAATGGTGTCAACTAAAACAAGAATGAAAAAAATTGAAGGTTACATATTACGTAGGTCATTAAGCAGCATGAGATACGTTATCATACGCTATCAAAATAGTAACATTTAAGCGGACCACTCTTGTAATAAATTATGTGGTTTCGGTTTCAAAACTGTACCTGGGATCTTGGTGCGGGTCTTCGCTCCCACTCCAATCTCGGAGATCTCTTGCTCGGCCATGGTTCTGCCTTAAAGATCGTTTTTTTTTTGTTCTACATAAACATGCACGTAATCACACTAAACACATTGTATTCCATTTCGCGGAATATGCAACGCATTCCACTTTAGTGACCATCTAATCGCTTACATGTTCATGTTCGCGGATTTCAGAAGAATAAATCGAACTCGCGAGTCAACCATCCACCAAATGTATAAGAACAATGGAAACCCTAGCGACTTGTACTGGGAAAGGATCAAGCGCTGAAGATGACGCGGGAAATTCAAAAGTGGTAGGCAAAAAAGAATCAACATCATTTCTGTGAACAGATACAGTGACAACGTATTTATCAACCACTAACCTAATAGGTTTTTGGTCCTTGACCGATCCTCGGCCTGGATTGCTTCACAGCTTCTAAAATCTTTTGAAAACTGTAAGGCGGGCGCTCGGTCCATAGCCATGCAAAGCATAGGGCTAAATGATATAGTTTAATAAAACTGAGCGTAGATACATTTCATGTCGAAATAATGATCGCATTCGAAAACTGTCATTTCCAATAATACTTACTAAATGATAGAACAACTTTATTTTCACAAATTGAGTAGCATTTATATGTGATTCACAGAACTTCAGGCAGCAACAGACTGATGTCGGCTTAAATCAATTAACTTTTTGCAAGCAGATAATCAGGACACTAGCACCATGCTACCACGTTATCGGCAATGCACAACAGCTTAGAAAGAACGTTTCGGCTGTTACATTCAGTGAAGCAATGCCTATCATCATTGCGCGTCCGTAAATTCATTAGATAAGCACGCTGCCTACCGCACCATTACACGGACAGGACCTATTTGCCTCCTCTTTGTGTTTCGTGTTCAGTGGATACAAGAGTCTAGTCAGATTCTACAGGCTTTCTATAGACAAGACTTTAATAGAGCTTATATTACGAAATTACAATAAATGAGACGTTATTACTGTTGGGTAGAAAAAAGGCACGCGTTTGTACAATCTAATTATTGGATTATGGGTAAGTATCACATGAATATATTTGATATAAATTCAAAAAGACGGAGAGTAAAAGTTTCTAAGAAGTTTAACAATTAGAATGTTCTCGGAAGAAGGACGACAGCTATTGAAGAGTACCACAAAAATGACTGCATAAGTCGTTTTGTAGAACAATATTTAGTTGAAATAAACTTCTTAAATAAAAAATACCTTGAACTTGAGTTAACCTTATATCTCTAAAAATATTTATCTCAGATGTGTGCAGTAATATTTATTATGGCCAAAACAGGCTCATATTATCTGTACACTCAAAAGCAATTTTCACTATTGAAGATTTATGAAAATGCGTCGTACTATCATATATTTACATGCACAAAATTAATTTCATATAACTTCTCACAATAAAAAATTCCTACATTCGCACCCACTGTGTAGCATTTACTTGTCTTAAGCAAAACCTAAGTGATCTCTCATTTCGTTCAACGATAAGCCTGTCTCCGCCGGGATTTTAATAAAGGCCGTAGAATGTACACATATGCATCAAAATAAAATGTTAACAGGGTTGAACCCAGTCGAACCTCGTTTAATGACAATCTGCTTTAAAATTTTTTACGTTTGGGTGTCTCTACAGGACAGTGTTGACTTTATTAAACTTGCGTTAGAATTCATTTATTTATATACACATAGGGCTATAATCCGTTTATAATGGCAATAGAGGGCTCCCAGAACCGTTACTCTGTCTGTCTCTGGCAATCGCATTAAGTTTTGTTTGTTGCGGACTCGGAAGCGCTTGTGCTCAGGCTACGTTAGGTTTATCGTTCAACTATCAGAGCACAGCTGGGTCTTGGCTTGCTTGAGCCTGTCAGCAACCTCTTGGCGTTTTTTAACGAGTGCAATCTCCTCCCGAAGCTTACGATTGCTTTCGGCCTTCTGAAAAGCCGCATACGCATACAGAAATCGATTTAGACATATATACATGTATTGTATAAAAGATAACTTTTTGCAGCAATAGTCGATAAACACGGATTATGATATTAGAACGTTCTCTAGTTCTATATTATATTAGAAATAATACTAACCATGGCAATCAGACGTCTGGTTTCTATCCGCTTCAGTCTGGAATCTTCTTCGATCTGTCGGAGAAACTCATCTTCGGGAAGGACCACGTGGGATGGAGTAGCCATAAGCTTGTAAAGCTTCGCCTGCAAAGGAACCAATGAAGAAAATCTAATCGGTTAGTTTCTAAGCAAGACAAATGGGAAATGTGACTTATTTTTGATACTTAGATTAGCAATGTTCTCGTAGGTAAAACGCTTTCAATTAGAAACTAAAGATTGACGCGCTAACCTGAGAGATATTTTAGAATTTACTTCTCAGAAATAATATTATAGCCAGTGGGCTAAGCAAAACTAAACCTCTGGAGAGAGATGTTCAGCGGTTCAGCAAATCTTTAAAAAATCCTCTTCTTTCAACAGTCAAGAATATATTTATGAAAAAGTTTACCTACCACGAGATGTCCTTCTTCATCAAATTGTTCTTGATAGCATTACCAGTGCGCTCCTATCATCCGAAATTTTACAATCTTTCTGACTTTGAAATCATTAAGTTAGATTGAAATGCCTCAAACGAGGCTCCGAGGTTGCCAGCATAGTGATGCCGTAAATTGTTTCTTCGTTCAGCGCACGGCCCGCTATATTCAAAAGCATGGTCATCAGAGTTTTGCCATACAGCCCTCTTATTATTCAAAAAGACATTTACTCTGCATTGTATCTTCCATATACAAACCTCGATGCGATCGATACAAGCGTCGAAGTGGGCGATGTCCTCAATGCTGGCACGTTCTACATCGCCTGGCTTAACTTCTTTTTTATAGCAATTCTGAAATAATGCCAAACGAATAGAGCAGACGTTTACTATGGGATACACTTGCTAAACAAAAGTTATGTATAAACATTTATCAGAATAATTTGGTTGTCTTATATTTTTAAAACAGGAGGCAAAAATTAGCCGTCCTCAATCTGCAAGCAACCCACTCACCAAGGCTTCAACGTCGCTGACGAAATGTCGCAACTTCTCGGATAAGTTGTCCTCAAGAATATCCTGAACTGCAACGAGATTGGAGAAATATGTTTCGTCAATCACCAAATGGATGTCTTGACTTCCGTTTAGTATTTTGTGGAAATCCACGGAATTGGTTCCGACGATTATCCAAAAAATCGCCGAAGATAGAATTAAGCAGCCCAGCTATGGTATCCTTAAAGTATATTTTTCTAATCGAAAAATAGTTTTGAAGCTTTGATATGCATACGTGACCTATTATACATACATATATATTTATGTATACATATATGTATGAAATAACAATTAAAAGCTACTGATAAAATGGGAGATAGCCGTAGATTATATTTCTAGCTTTGAGTTTCTATTATTTTCATTCCATATTGCATTCCATTTTGCATGACTATCAAAATATCATCCCCAAGTCAGTACATGTACAACGGACGTCGGTCTATGACACTGAGGAAATAATTTGACCAGACGACAAACTGTAAAGATATACCCACCATTTAACCTGCTGTTGTATATACAACCACAATGATGTATGAACATGTTTTCGTTTTGAGTTCAAAAATTAATTCAGGCTTTTTTTTTTTTAAATAATTGCTGGTCTGTTGTTGAGCTAGATTAATCTGCACAACGCGTGCAACACAAACAAAAATAGTTTTTAATATTCATCTTTATATAACGCTTAAGTCATAATTTTACTGGTCAAGAACCGACAACGAATCAAGCGTTTACAAGGAGCTAAATTTTATTGGATCCGATTGAAGGCACTGTGATAAACAGGTCATAAATGATTGAAAATAAAAAATTTTAAATTATGAAAAACATTAATGTATACTGCTACGCATATTGAGACCTAACTAAATACGTGACTTGGATCCATGCATGCGTAGTGTTGCTTTTCGCAAACAGAACCTACTTTTGGCCGAAATCATGTTTGGCGTTTTCTTGAATGTTTTGAATAAGTAGAGCATATCAGCGCTGGATGTGCTATCTGCCATTATGTCAATCACTGAAGGACGAGATGCAGAAAACTGTTCGTAAAACTTAGCCGTACATCATATTTTCTTAAGATATCTAGGTAAGGCACTGTGCGCTTATTGTTAATGTCAGCGTATTATTTGTTTCCTCCAACAGAATGAGTTGTCTTTCCGTTACATTCCGCCATTGACATTTCAAGTATCTCGCCCTTGTGGAGAGGGATGTATCTACCTGAGTAGCGACCGGCTCAAGTGGCGCGTCCACTTTACGAATCGCAGACATACGACGGTGCCTAGGTTATTATTTGCAAAATTCACACAAAATGAGCAAAGGTATGTAAGGAATAAGCTCTTGTAAAATACATAAGCTTAGAGGAACTCTACGCATTGATTTGGTTTATCAATCCGTTAGATATTGCATACTTTTTTTTATGAAAGGTTTATTTTCTAAGTGTTAACGAATGACCTATTCCTGAAATACATACAAAAAAGGGTGCGGGCCACACCATCTTGTAATAATAATATCTAAATAAGTAAATAAGGACCTAGCAAACTTTACACACGAAAGAACGCAATATTGTTTCAAATCTACTCACCACCATTACCATTCTTTTAAATACTCTGTCACGGGTACTGTCGCAGCTTCGTTCTAGCAGACGGAAATACGCCTGCGCCACACTGAATGAGACTCATTTCACTGTATTACAAAGACATTCAACACACACACCTCTATGTCTCCAGACTTCAGTCTCAGACATGACCTGGCTTTCTTTGACGGTTCCCGGTAGCAACAGCGCGGGCTAAACATTACCATTATGGCCCTGTGTTTTGATCGTTCTGGGAAAAATGGCGGTAGGTGAAAGATTCTGGCCAAGAAATACAGCCAGAAGCAGGCGCCGCCAGCTATTACACACCCAAATATTACTTCGTCCTATCTGCTAACTATTTACTGTCTGGTTGTTAGTTTTCTACCAAATTGGGTGCTTAGTGCTTCGGCTCCAGGTGTAGCTACCCTGGTCTCGGCTCTAACTGGAACCGCTACTGAGGCAGTCAGCTGCTGAACTCAACCTCTCAGCTGTGCGCTCGTCGACTCACAAGTATACTGTCGTTGCTGCCCGGCTTGCTGGGCTGCCTCCTTTGGACGCCTTGTACGTGCGATATATACTGTCATCTACCTACCTATGTATATCGAACTCGGTGCCGTCCCTAACGTCCGCCGTTGTCGCTGCCATTTCGTTTGGGATCGCGATCAGATTACAGCCACTTCCAATAGTCGTCGTCAGCTGCTAGCGACGCGACTAGCTGACTCGCCGTCCTATTCAAGGACCGCGCGTGGACTCATCTGTTCATGGCCCTTCCCCCTAGAATGTTCGCTGGTGACGAACGGAGTTCTTCGTCGAGCTGTCACAGCGGAGAATTTAAGCGAAGCCATTCACAGCTTGAAGGTAATTTAGGTATTGATGACTGAACGGACAACGACTAAATGGGCGACAAACAAAAAGTAGCTAACAGAACAGATTCGTCTTTACTACTGGCGCTGGTGGATGACAGTTCCTGTCTTTATCTAGGTAGATCTGTCCCCGTGATAGCTTAGTGGGTAACGTATTTGCCTGCTATTCTTAGGGACACGTTGTGGTCTAGGCCCGAACCCGGAAGCGACCGCATGGAATGTCTAACGGCGATACCGAACGTAAAGTTCGAAACATGGAGGTAGACATGTAGTGTAATGGTTTGTCAGTTATCAACAGTGGAAAGGTTAGATTATACTGAAACAAAAAATGTTGCTTACACAAGAACGACGTTAATTAGATTATGTAATGTCAGAGAAAAACAATATTTTGGTGGGTGAGTTGGCTACTGGCGTTCCGCTTGATGTATGTCAGATGCAAGAAAGATATGCCAAGAGTGTAGTAAACAGATTTCCAACATAACTATGACGACATTAAGTCTACGGCAAGATGTTGTGTGATGTAACCATACGATATGTCATGCCTACATTTTATGCTTAGATAATTGTCAAACGTATACTGACTCCGGCCAGTTGACTGAAAGTGGAGTGGGGCATCATAAAGATGGAAATACTAATAATCTGTGCTCTTTATGGAGAAAGTTTTAATCTGCGCGCACTATTAGTGGGATAAATTTATATTCTTGATCCAATTTGGGGTATTCGCCTAGTTGTTAAAGATTAGGTTACGAAAGATTTAATAAATAACGTTAGCAATGTTCGTCGATATTTCTGCTTCACGTTAGCGAGCTCTTAAAGATGGAAGGCCTTGTTCTAACAACTACTGAATAATCAGCAGCTGAATGGTGTGTGTGTTTAAATTGTTCAGAAACTGGATCGGTCAAATTGGATCTGTTGTTAACGTCTTTGTTAATGTTAGTTAGAATTTTTGCCGATTAGTAATAATGATACTATGTTGTTTTTAAGGAGCGTTTATCATTGCCTTTCCTACGGCGCATAGCGGCTTCAAAAATACTCGATTACGAGGCCAATTAGCTCCGGTTGATGAACTGCTGATATACTTAACAATAGTTTAAGAGACAGACCAAAACAATACTCTTCTATTGAAAAGGACCTGTTTTCCGGCATGGCAAGAAGTAAAGTAGAATATCGTCTTTTTTTAGGAAACCCGCCGGCAGCGCAAATGAATTCGATGTTTCAATGCCGGCTCGTTTTGCTCCCAATGAACGAATTGTGAGTTTATATATTAGCGACAGCCAATTTTATGCGTGGACAGAGAATACGCTTGAATGTAGCATCCGTAAATTCCGCCCCGCTTCGTAACAATTTGTCATGTTAATATTTTGCTTTGACGGATACCGACATTTTAGTACACTGCATTGACGCAACGGTTAGAATTATTTCTTTGATGCGAACTTAAACAAACTTAAACTTGTCTCGTACACATAGCGGTACTTACTGTTTAGATATATTGTAGTGGCAATTTTCGAAACAATAATAACGCAACCTCGTTGCTCATTTTGAAAAAAGACGTTTGTTTAAAGTCGTATCGGAATTCGAAAATGGTCTCCCATTAGGTTACCTTTTCGCCGTCACAATGCTGTAGTATCACGTTTGTCCCTGCATAACCTTGTAAAAGAATGTTTAGTTAAGACTAGTCTAAATTTAAAACTGAGTGATATAAACACTTCTCTTCGAGCTGTGGGCTGCCAGGCTGTCTAAAGCAGTGCTTTTTTTGCGTGACGTACATAAAGTAACCAAATACTACTGGTAGTGATTTATGAACTTACGAAACCTAGATTCATGCAAAGAGTCAAGTTTTCTTGACTCTAATATATATCTAATACAATAATGCTCATATAAGATAGTAGGACCGCGCCTGGAGCTCGAAACATTAATTTAAGTTTACTTACGTTGGGGTTGTGTTCCAGCAGAGAACGCGAGCATCCCGGAGTCGAATGAAAACGTTGTGGCGATCGGGGATGAAGTGCTTGGAGCGCTGCTAAATTCAGTGCTGCGTGAGAAACGCCAGTCATTATTGAGAAGTCCACAGGTAGGCGGATACGCATTAGTGTAAAAATTAGTCCTATTTGATATTTGGGAACCCTTATAGTATGTATTTATACATTTATGTAAAATGGGCCAAGAGATGGGATGGACAGTTTGAGAATCTTCACCTGAATTTTTTCAATTCTTATTATTATACCAACACCATATTTTACTTTCCTGTTTCGTTAACGGACGTAAAAGGACAATTCTTAACCTATAAACTGAATTTTCTCAAACTACCAAAAGGCTTTTGCCCAAGCCTGTATATAAATGTATATACTTACAAAGGACATGTATATTTGAATAATCAGCTAGAATGCACTCCATATACTATATTTCCCTGTTTTTCGCCTCTTTCTAATTTTTTTCATTATCATCGTGTTAATTCCTAGGTCGCTGCTTTATTGGCCAGTCGGGAACAAAGTCTTCTACAATTACATGAAAATCAACAGCAGCGGCAGCAGCAGCATGACCGCCATTCGCATCAACAAGCCGATCTGCATCCGCCCGAGCAGCAGTCGCCCGCCCCCCCACAAACTCCAGTTTCGCAGATTGATTCATTTGGCCAAAGCCCTTCGCATCAGAATAACCCACGTGCCGTGCCCATAACTGCCACAGATCGTCAACAGCAAATTCAGCAACTACAGCAGCAGCAACAACAACGACAACAACAGCTTAATCTGCCGCCGAGTATTCGGCCGCCCCTTAGCAGTAATCATTTAGGAAACAATTAAATTAGCGATGAACAGCAAATCAATCAGCTGACTAACCATTAAACTAGATTATTTAATCAATGTCCACTTAAGCGCAAGCGAATCATAACTATATATATATATATATATATAGATCTGTGAGACACTGGTAAGCCAGCTAATAATGAATTTTTTGTACGACGTGTACGATGTGGATAATATGAGTTAGATATAGTGTCCTAGATCAAGTAGTTTGATTTTCAGACAGACGCAGACTGGGCGCTCCCTTCAATCGACTGTCATGCCTTACCAAAAGTAGCTGGGGGTTGAGGTAAAGTGGACACTTTGTATCGGTACACAAAATTCGGAGAAAATAAGATAAGGAATAGATGGAAGACTTTGCCGAAAATCGCATATAAATCTAAGCCTAAAAACATTGTTTACATTAAACTCTACCTATATAACTATAGAAAGTGTATATGTATATAGATATGTTTATGTATATATCCACACGCCTAAACATAGATTAGAGGGAGAAAAACGTATGATAGGTATGCTCTTGCTGTGATTTTTCCAAGGTGTACTCGTTTTCGATTATAAATACTATCTGCGTAAAAGGCGTCCACTTACGACACAAACACACATACAAAAACGTTTAGGAAGAAAGGGTGATATTAAAACAGCATATATATACATACATGAATATGAACGTGTATTAAGTAGTTCACGTACATAAAACAAACAATTATAGCCGTATATATATATAGATATAAGTCAAATATATACAAATAATTACTTGTATACATACATAACCATCTCTGTGTGATACGTGTCCGTTGTAACGTCCGTGGGGTCACTGCAGCGGGTGCCGCTTCTCGTCTCTCCATTATTGTTACCTAACAGGTAACATACAATTTACTACTGCTACTGTTGTTAGTTCACCTGATCTTCTGTTCATTCTTAGCAAACAGAATGAAAAGCGGGCCCGACTAGAGACTAGTATAAGGAAGGATCTGTTGAATTTTTTCGGCGCTACAAACAGACCTATAGCCTTACAAGCAGGTGTACCAGATAAATTGCACCATAACTTCGTAATAGAGCTGAAATGCGGTGGGTTATTCATTGTTTGATAGAAAGGTCCCTAAATATATCGATCTCGTTATAACAAGATGAGCTGTGACGAAAATCACAGCTGTTGTTCGCACGGCCCAGGAAAGGTGGCGGTGCAATCTTTAATGGAAATGGAACTTGAGCGAGGCTTATGGGGGGCGGCAAGAGAAGGCGAATTAAACAGGGTTAGAATGCTACTAGCCAAAGGCCACGACCCGAATCAACAGGACCCGTATGGATACACAGCCTTGCATTATGCTGCACGCGCCGGAAAAGCCAACGTGAGTAGCTGTAAGGGCGAATAGATGCACTTAGAAAATGCTGGCTTAGGTCGCACGTTACTATGGACAATTCGTAAAAGTGCTATTCTGGTGCCTCTTAAATGTGAAGAGCTGAACGATGACGCTGGAACCGATACCGATTTGACTGACAATTGGTTCTTAGTGATGGTCAAAGGCTGCGGGTTCTAAAACGCTTATATAAAGTTTGAACGAGTTGTCCTAGGACATAAGTCTAAATTTAGAATCGACTATACCTTTTGCTTGTTGTATTTGTGTTTTCTCAGATTGTCTCCGAATTGTTGGCTTGTGGTGGCTGCCCAAATGTCCGAACCAATGGGGGAACAACCCCTGCTCATCGAGCAGCCTACAAAGGGCATAAGGAGGTCTTGGACATTTTACTATCGGCCCTGCGAAGGGAACGCTTTGAAAGTGTAGCGGACGTTGACGATGATGGCGACACGATTGCTCATAAGGTCAGTACACAGCGTTTTTCGTTCTTTTTCCGTCCAAATGACTTTGTTTGAAAGAAAATTATGATTGTGTGGAGATGTTTGAAACTGAGGCAATCGGTTGATTATTCTTATTTGTAGCTTTACGGAAACTGTAGACTGGTGACTTTATTGGTGCAAATCTCATAAATATAAGTGCTAGCAGACGATTCAATTGAAGACGAAAATTCTTAGACTAAACGTTAAACCGTCTTCAAAGTCATGTATCGTGTGAATGGGGAGAGAGGGGTATGGTCAAGAATATTTTACGCAATCCAAGCGACATTAATAACGATTTGCTGTTATCGTCTTGCAGGCAGCAAAAGGCGGTCATGTCTGGCTAGCTGAAAAAATCGTGCGTGATTTTCCTCAGCTGGACCTGATAAGAAACCAACGGGGCCATTTGTGGAAGGAGGTGTGTAACAGCGGTGTTCAATTTTAGCGAAACGAATTCTACGAATTACAAAGATATCGACTATTTTTTTTATTAATGTTGGCTCTATAACAATGAATTAGGTATCCATATGTCTGTAGGCGTTGTGAAGTTCGTTGTTTTGAGTAAAAGTAATATGTAATCTAAGAACAATTGATATTTGCCTAGTCTCAGTATGCTTAGCATAAGGCGTGGTAAGCGGAAGCAATACTATTCGTCGAGAGCAAATATCTATGTACGTTGTATTTGACCTGAGTTTCATGTTTACGAAACATACGCTCTAAACTCCAAAGTGTTTATTGTAGCGATATATGCAGTAAACAGTTTGACGGGTTCTAAGTGGGAAAAGTTAAGGGTAAGAAAAAATTAGCTGCTAAATTGCGCCAGAAAACTAATTTAGCACTAATTTAAACTAATTTAAAAAAAGCAACGTATCTTTTTGCATCTGTAAGGTAGCATAATCATACATGAACCTAATGTATTTGAAAACAAGACAGTATTATTCAATTGAAAACATTACTGCCGATGGGGTTTCCTTTCAGGTTTTACATATCTTATTAGTAAATTTGTTTATTAATTACAGTAAATCTTACGAGGTGTTAGCAATTGTTTCCGGATTACTGAGTCCACACTTGAATTACACTGAATCCGCTAGTTAGCTTGATTTAACTTTCCACAAGCCTATATGATAATCTTTATACGGCATATAAACACGATTGCCACTTGTACAGTATAAAAAGATGTAAACGCAAACACCGATTGAGTTGAACTCAGTAAAGCTGGCTTACATCGGTTGACAACAGAACACTGATTTAAAACGGCCGCTAAAAAAATTGTAGGTTTAAAGGCGCAATTGATTTCAATAAAGTAAGAAGCAATCATGTTTTTGATTGTCTATTTGGCAAACGCGCGGCCTACGTTTAATTTGCTGGAGCAGATCTAAGTTAAAAGCTTGAAATGTCGGGTTCCAAAGTCATATCGACTATTGTATTATGTGTTAGGGAAAGTATCGTAATGATTTTTTTTGCTTGGCTATGTAACAACTGCAATAAGAAGTTAACGACTTTCAATTAAGTGAGTAGATTCGTTTTTTTTTTCTTTACTTGCACGTTTCTGTAAGAGCTTGTATACTTAGAATAAAAAGTTAATATAAGTTCCGTTACTTTTAAATATTTTTAAAAGCAAAGTATACTAACACAAAAGCGGTTCGCCATGCTAGTATATATTTTGGCCGAATTGACTACTACCCGTTGCACTCCTGCATGCGCTTTTGCCTCAGGCTGCTATGCACAGAATTACTCCGTTAACTACTCCTTTTTCTTAATTTTGTTAATCGTCTCTCGTATATATCCTATGTTAAATAAAGTACATCTTTCCACGCATTTCTGGATGAATTGCAACTACGTTTTCCAGCGTGGCTATCTGATCATTCGACCATGTTTTCCTGCGTTCGGCCGCGCCATCATTGTTTGATCTCGGAGCTGCAACTTTGATGAAGTCACTAGCACGCCGGAGTGCCAGATTAGCGTACTCCAGTGGAGCCGGAATTGATATCGATCGCGTGCATCGCATATTGGTGTGACACAAGAAATAACAGATGCTATAGATTTCATCGGGTGATTGTAGGGCATCGTTATGGACAACCTGGTAATGAGCTGGACGTGAGGTACCCTGCATACCGGCGTGTGAACACAGGTAGAAATCAAATACGTCCGGTTGGACGATATCTCGATCAACAAGCGTACCGGGTGGGATGTTCTTCGCTTTGCCGACGGCTTGCCGTTTGTTCTGGCAAAGAAATCGGACATGGTGACGTTTGGTAACGAAGATAAATACCATTGGAGGTTCGTAGTTCAGCTGTATACTTGCGCATGCCTGACGGAGGGCGGTCAACTCTTCCAAACGAACTTCATTAAACTGTCCATCGGGCACGCTAGCACGGAAGATAATCAGCTGTTTTGGTAGATAATGATTTTCGTTTCTGAACGCTATCAACGCCTCAGTGAACATTGGTTTTAGCTTGACAACGTACGGTTCCTTGCTTTGTATCGATGTCGTTGAATAGTATTGAGCTGGAATCTGATCCATGGAGGCTACTAAACACGCGACAGAGGGTGTTCCCTTTTCGCCTGCAGGCATCAATACATGTGTACGAAAACAGCGTTAGAGTTGTAAAAAGTTGAAGTTAAATCATCTACTAGTTGGAAAGAAGTGTTGCAAGAACAAAGTGGCTAACTTGATGAGTACTGTTTGATAAAATATGCAGGAAGTTTTGCCGGATTCTACGGGAAACTGCAGCCAACACTACTTTTAGGGTATGACTACTGACGTTATAAAATCTACTTTTTGACGAAATGGAGGCGACTTTCATGTCATCTGTGTTTAACCACAGAACGGTTCAATCATACTCCAGCTCCTTAGAATGATACCTATCCAGTTGCGGAGACTAGTATGAAGCTTCTTAAAAATCTGAAACCTCTTTTTATGCAAAAATGTTTGTAAAATATAAAGGACGAAAAAAGTGTGCACGTCCCGTAGAATATTATATAGTCGAAAATATTTCCCATACTTCCGCTCTTACAAGCAAAGTCTTACGCAGACCAATTTACTAGCTTTAAAAGTGCGGAACATTCCTTTCTACTAAATTATACTAAAAAATACTACGAAAACGCCTATATTAATGATTTAATTACCTAATACTTCATGGACGTTACTTCCCGTTAAATACACTAGGTTTATCAGAAACTAATTAGTTATATCTATCTTGCAAACTTAAGCACTTTGAAAATTATACATTTTTAAGCGTATGCATTAGATTTCCGACAATGGTGTAGCCAGCTTTTACTGTTTATAAGACACTTGAGATGATTGAATCGAATTTTCATGCAATAGTCTGCAATGCAGCTTTTTGCAGCCATCTGAAATGTGAATTGCCGTTCATCTCGAAATCAAATCGAAACCATTAGCTGTAGAGCACTAAAACCACTTCCGGCGAAGGGCGTTAAGGAAGGCACTTTTTGCCTTCCGTTTTTCAGACCATGCTCGCTGTTTCGGCTGGTTGTTTCCCAGCCGTGGGCAAATGCTGACAATTTAGTTTTTGATGATTTTATGATCTGATCGCGCAGACGACTACGATTCATTAGGTCAAGTAAAGCAAAATTTTTGAATATATAATAATCATGCCGACTTTCGTTTCTATTATAGCAAAGTTTAAGGCTTTCCGATCCACCTATTTATACATTTATCTCAGGCAAATTAGCGGGGAAAAATCTGTTCATACCCTAAACACATAGTATGTAGAATTTATTACTCATCAATCAGTACTAGATTTTGCCACTGGTGACAGAGGTATGCCAAATTAGTCCTATGTTCATATCGTGGAGGCACCATTGCTTTCCTTTAAGACTTCGTTACGAATTTTTGTATCATTCTTTTCTTTCCAAAAGTGGATTTTAGATTTTCTGAAAGGTGGCAAAAAATCTACATTGGTGAGAGAAAGAACTTAGTTCTAAGAAGCCAAGACTGCTTTATAGCTTCCAACTCTAGTCTCCCCTGAATACTATTTACAAAACTGAACCTTTAATTAGAAAAGCTTTTCTTTACTAACCAGACCTTGAGTGGTTAATGTCGATTCCGACTACCATAAATGCTTCAGATAATGCGGGAGGCCGAAACTCGTTCTTGACTGAGCTGTTCTGCCCGCCGAGCTTTGCATTCATCTTTTGCAACAAACTCTGAGCGAATGTCATGCTGAATTTCTTGACGATATTCGAGTCTTTAACGCATTGCGTCCGTGTGCAGAGATCAGTAGTTTCAGCTTCAAATTTCAGTTGACTATAGTCAGTGTGTGGTGACATTACGACAAGCGTCATTTGTACGTTTTTTACATGTTGCTTGATGTCGACGAGGACCTGCCGGGGCGATACACTTTGATCATATGTTTGAATATAAGGATGGGCAATTTTCATACCCATTTTCGTACTTGCTGCCGTGAATCCATTTACCATGTTAGTTACTGTATCATTCTGCACCCTCCCTAATATTGCGACAGCCCAGCGGTCAAGTTTGACCGGTTTCAACAGCGAACCGAGCCTCCATACGCCATCTTTTGTTTGCATGGTCTCGTCATTCCTGTAGCTTATAATTGGTTCCGTGAGTCGCCTCCCCTGCACCACAATATTCTCGTTTTCAAAGCTCATGTCAAACTCTGTGCAATACTTTGCCGAGTTGGTTTTCAGCAATGTAGCAGCTTCCTTGATATGTTGAAACCGTGTATTCGGTGAGGCCGTTGCTCGTTTAATCATCAGAGAGGTCTGCAGCTCCGAAAGTTTTTTGATACAGCGTTGGCCTGGTGCAATAATTAACAGCTCCATAGGAACCATTGCGCCGTTAGTATTGCCAAGTATAGCACAGGGTAGATCAGGCCGTTCCAACGTGATATTATGTCTCCGCTCAAAATACTCAACAATTGAGACTGATTTCCCCTGCCAGTCAAAGGTTTCAGTATCAGCGCCATAGTTCGTCAGACCAGCAACTCGTATTTTCCGCTTTTGATTCAAGTGCACAGAATACACAATGACACCTTTCAGGGCACTAGCAAGGCTTTCACGGTCTCTAGGTGCTAGTGGCATTTTTAACGGATCGAAAGGTAGCGTTTTTTTTGGGTCTAGAACTTCCTTGGCAAGCTGCAGCAGAGGTCCCGATACATAGAATGCTGAGCATTTAATATCAATATTTACCAATGGACGCCAAGTTCCACGTCGTGTTGACGTACATAATCCAGGCCATACCTCTAGACCACCGCTCAGATAGCAGTCGCTGCTAGCCTGAAATAATCCAACACGTTGAAATGATCGAGATGTACAGCTTACACATAACATACAGAAATGATATGTTAATATAAAAATACTGTGACCCTTGTTAATTACTTTTTTAAAAAAATACTGTGACCCTTGTTAATTACTTTTTTAAAAAAATACTGTGACCCTTGTTAATTACTTTTTTAAAAAAATACTGTGACCCTTGTTAATTACTTTTTTAAACTAAAGGGGTCTTCATTAATCGAGCCGCAACCAAAGGGTTTATTTTTGCACACTTGTATGAAAATGTGCGGAAAAATTGAGACTTAACTTCCTGTGATTTCGAATGCTGCATCTAAGGAAGCTCGATGAACCCTTCTCTCGTTTTTCTGGCAATACCATCATCTCATGACTGTAGAACTTTGTGGTTTCTGAGCAAAAAAATGTGATAAGTGATTTTTGCATGTCTTCATTTAAACTAGATTATTATCATTGAAGAAGTCCTGTAGAGGTCGAAACAGATGAAAGCCTAATGGTCTAGCCTGGTATAACCTTGGCTATACACCGGATAAATTAAGTATACATAAGTTCTCTTAATTATTGCCGGGAAACTGAAGATGCATGTGGTCTTTTTGATTCATCAGTCCTTTCTTCAATGGCTTCTTGCAAATTTGATAGTTATTGATAGTAGAGGTTAGAATCTATCGTCGTTTTGTTTGCCGGCAGCAACTCTTAATGCACGATTCTTTTCCAATCCCGTTAAACACATAGAGTCGCATTCCTTGGTATCAATCTAAGCCACATATCGTAGATCACGTTTTTTAAAATTTTACTCTTTCATCTTCCCATTACCTCTACTTTTTATCATTCGTGACTAACCGTTTCAGAAATGACTCGATTTCATTGCGTTCCTTTGGGGTTTCGCAAATGGCGATACAATCGGGCAATTTTTTTTCAATCGATTCGTGTATTTTCGTATTCGTAACATCGTGCTTTAAGTGGTTTAAGACCATTTGGAGAAGTCTTATTCTCTGGCGATACCTTGGCGAGTAATATGTCTCTTGCATTGCTGAACCTTAGCAATAATTTAATCGACTTTTTCCGTATTTGGCTAGCAACTACATCAGAATTTTCAAAACGAAACTGAGAATCATCATGGGCCGCTTCTTCCAATAAGGCATCTTAGCTATGGACAGCACTTATACTTTTTATAGGCCTGGGCAGCATTTGTTTTTATCACAAAGATATTTACCAAAATTATAACAAATAAAAATATAACCAATTTTTGGAAATTTCACGCAACAACATACCGTCTGTGTGGTGCATTTTATTTTCACAAAAAACCTAATGCACGCGTATTGTTGCATATAAAAAAAAATCGCAAAACGTTCAATACTTTGATTTGTTCAATTTCACCGGAAAACTTTAGATCGCACCAGATTGTTATTCCTCTATGTACCTCTATGTAGCAGAGACTCTCGTCTTTTCGCCAAGACAAACGTGGATCATTAAAAAGATCATAAATGATCACCCATTGCCGTGCAAATTCAAGCGACACATTCATCTCTGATTTAAGAGTATATTTAAGAGTATAAGAGAGCGTCCAAAGACGTTTTGTCGGAGGCGAACTAAGATCGCAGGGAAAAGACGTGTCCTTAACAAGGGCTATTACTTAATAAGAAAAAGGTAACGCCGCGGTCATAATCAGCACGTGTAATGTTATAGTAGAGCCTCAGCCTGATTTTATGAAAAGGCAAAGGCATTTTAAGGAATTTAGCGTTAGGAATATCGTATATATATATATATATATATATATATATATATATGATTACGTTTTCTTTCAAAGGTTGGTCAATATTCGAACTAGGGGACGTCAGAACAAAAACTACAGGCATTTGCACTTTAAAAACCAAAGAAGATCCGACTAGCCAATGTTGACTTCTAGCGAAGACGAAGCGAATAGTGCGACAGATGAAATTGTAGCTGGTCCATGTCATAAAAGCCGACGACCTCTATTGAGAATGCCATTTAAAATCTTGCGCGGAGTTACATTGGGTCGTGGAGATAATGGTACCCTTGCCTTCAAAGCGCTCTACCTTAAGCCTGATGATAGGCGTTGCACCAATTTTAGCACATCTATTACCGGCAAATTTCAGCTTCCAAATGACACCACCGCCAGCCCGCGCGACCCGTTACTGAGATATGTAAAATAATAATAATAAAAAAAAAAAGACTATCTATTTAGAAAAAAAGTGAATACCTTTTCAACAAGCTAACGTGCAAGAAAAAATGCTATATGAAGTACAAAAAATATGATACAAAAGCGCAAACCGCTTGAGGTGGCCTATAGAACGCACGGCCGACTGAAGTAAGCGATAAAGTAAGCCCTGTTCGGAGGATAGTATCTGCCACTTGTACGCTAATTCCGTGATCTGCTGTTGTTGGAATTATTCCTTCTTTGATATTCGTGTAGAATTTCTGGATGGGCTCAAAATCAATATCAGTCACATATTCGATTTGAACACAGAACGAGAGTTTTTCTCTGTTGTGAATGACGTTAATTGAGTTGAATTCCTGCTTCTGTAAACATAAAAGGATACAGGCAAAGAAACATAATTAATATTACCATATGCAGCTATACGCGGCAGTCCCGGTCACGGTACAATGGTAATGTGTTTGCTTATTAAATCTGGGGACACGTGATGATATATGTTAATCTCCGTGCATAGACACTTTGCATCGTGTTAAGAGCTCAAGTATGGAGCAATGTTTAACGACACTACCAGGTGTAAATCTTGAAATTAAAAAAAAAGTAATATGCAAGTGATGTAGAATTAGTGAAAAAGTCGTTGAATTATTGAACATCATTAAGCCGATGTGTTGGGAAGTATGCTTCTTGCAAGTTTGCAAACTTGCAAGAAGCATACTTCCCATACCGTTTATCGCTGTATAAACGGTAATCAGCTAAAACTTCAAATGGACGAAAGTGATTTTTCATTGTTTTAGTTCTCTAATATATCCACTACCCCAAGTTACGTTTTTGCCTTTTATCCGACATTTAAAAATTAAGTATAATTCAGTGGCCAAATGGCAGTTCAAGCTAAAATTTAGTTATGATCTGCCAAAACAGTTCAAAGCGTTATAGTAAGAGTTAATGTTTATGTGGACAGTTACCGTCTATACATCTTATTGGTTGATGAGATGGGTGCACCATTGTTGAATGCGGTGCTGTTTTAAAGTTACGGAAAGCCTGATTCATAACACTGAACCTTGATATAGGTTCTATGCGTATGTATTTCATAAGGACTCTGTGTGTTCAGATTGACCTCGTATTGCCATATATGATAGTAATGTCATATGTACTGTAAGTTAAAGAAATATTCCAATGAAGCTTATTACTATTATACTATTATGCAAATGAGCATATCTAATTTCTTTCGGTTAGAGGCTTCTTGTGTATGTACCCATACCTGAAACGGCAGCTGCCTTCGCGTATAGAGCTTTCGATGTCCATCATACGCCAGTTGATATTCGCCAACGATACGTTTTTTGCATATCAATACGACCTTATGATTGATATCGGCCGAAAAGCTAGGTTTCCTACTGCTTGACTGCTGTCTTATTGACTCTGATGGATCAGTACCCGCGTCACTGACCTTATCCTGATCCCCAGTGTCCTTGATTTGGGAAATCTCTACCTTGTATTGAAAGATCTTCGCAGATGGCAGTTTGACCGGAAACATATTCGTCACAAGCGGTAGTGACGAACCTGCTTGCGTCGGAGTAATAGGACGCTTTGGAACGGTAGGAACATTGCCGAAGACCTCAACCGCACGCTGCTCGTGTGAACTGACGGGGAGCGCATTTGTGCCGCGGCAGGTCTTCAACTTCACTGTTTCCACTCCAAACTTTGATTTTGACGTTGCTAAAACAGGCCTTTTCCCGGAATAATTTCGCGAAACTTTGACTGAAGCCAAATTTGTAGGGAAGAAAAACAAAGCCATACATGCAGAAGTATTTTATGGACCCGTAATAGTGGCTGTTCCAGTCAAGATATTTTGCTTAGTACATTTGAAGAAGAGTAAACCTGCAAGGAATGCACCTCGCGCTATATGTACGTCTTCATATGGTGTTAATAAATAGAACACGTAGTAGAACAACACAAAACTGTTTCGTCTCATAGACTTACATTTCATGTCTAAAAATAGCCATCTGCTCTATCGTTCATATCCAACTTAATATGCCCTCGGGTATAAATCATTTTGAAATCCGACGTTACACACACTTTGAGTGGTACCAGTAAAGACCTAGTCTACCATAGAACTCTTGCGGAGTTCTATGGTAGACTAGGTTGAATGCTTCGTGCTTAAGTTGAAGCCTTTGTATTTGTATTTGAGATAATAAAAATACAATACCTTCGTTACATATGAAAATCGCTTCAACGAGAACGATGTCAGACTCTACCCTACAAATGAAAAAATGTCTAGTTGCAACTACTACTACATCGATAATAGAATAATGCTTGAAACCATTTATCGTTACGAAATCCTTCAGAGGAAAGTCGCTTTCAATTATGCTCTTCAAAATGCAATAGCTACTCTGCCATAAGCGCACGTGAAGGCTTCACGTCAGATTTAAGCGACACTTCAATGTGTGTAGCTTCAAATTTTATAATACTGCAGGTATTTAATAGTTTTTTTTTCTATGACAAGTGACTCGAACTATGCGAACTTACCGTTAGGCCAGCCAACATTTTTGCGAGACGCCATTTTTGTTGAAGTGCGCAGCAATATGGAGAGTTCAGGGACTTTCAATGCACATGGCATCCAACTGACAGATGGATATTATTAATCTAGTAAACGGAGACAATTTTTTATAAGTACAATTGAAAGAACAATTGCTCAAAGCACTTTATGGTTAAGTACACGTATGGAGTAGATCAAATAGATACTCAAGTGAATTATAAAGAAGGTGAGACTTTATTTTTGATACAAGATGATGTAACTTGGCCTCCGATCGCACCATCTATCCAACTTGAATAAGTTGGCGTTGTCAATATCGACACGGGCGCCCGAAATCGCGCGACATATTCTTGAGCGAACTCCGAATTCGAAAGCGAGCGAAAGAGAGAGAGAATGGGAGAGAGAGAAGCATATACGAGACGTGATCCTCAGTGACGTGCACTCAGTGCGGCTGATGGATGAACGTAAGTGACTTCGGTGCAATGCAAAATCAAGTACTGCCTACATCCACACTTTGACATGCTTTGTGGAAGATTCTTTATGCACAAACCAGCGTGGTATAAGAGATAACATACGCACGCTGATATATGCTTTGCAATCCCGTAATGATGAATGCTTTGAGAAACGGAAGTTAATGCTGTGAAAGGCTTCAAGCATTATTATAATTGCTTCAAGTAAACGTCGAGCAATCGTCTCATGTAATTTCTTGGTTATTGTTCACTAAACTAGATATGTATTTGCCTGCGAATGTTGACTACCACTTACATTCATACAGCCTGTGGCACTTCATTTTAGTTTGTATATACATGTTTACTTGACAAAATGGATTGAAAAATGTTTTTTCCAAAATTAGTTAAGCTATCTCAATAAGGCTACTTCGAAGACTTTTCAGCACATATGGCTTAGTTAGGGCAAGGTATTAGTTGAATTAGGGAAGCTAAAGGACGTATACTTATGTTTACATAATGCCTTAATTATCAGTTGTATTAGAATAATTTTCCATTAGCCATCGGAGTTATATGTGAGCATACATGTTAGCCATTAAACCCATTATTTATTAATTCAATATTATGATTTAATACTATCAAAGAAGAATATTCTTGGTTACTAATAATTTACGTCTATTTATATATGGGAAATAAAGTTAGTAGACTACACACCTCACTTTTCGGGAAATATACAGGTCCGCTTTTTAACGTACGAGATTATATTTGTAATTTTTTTTACAATTTTTTCCATCATATTGCATGACGCTGGATTCTGCTAGTTTTACTTACCTGCTTTTTTCATTTCTGTATGTTTTAGCACTCAGAGTAAGACTTCCCTCAAGCACCCCAAACTTTAATGTAAATGGTTTCTAAATGGCGCACTCGTATATTTTGCTATAAGCATCGAACTTAACGACACTCCTGTACATTTAGAACATCTTTTTTACGTCTTCAGAACTTGGTTCAACGTGCACACCTTTTTTTTTCTTTATCTAAACTAACAATACAGTTTTCTTTCTACAGTTTCCAAAAAAAAAGTACTAAAATTCTCAAAAGATCATAAATTTTCTTTTAAAACAATTACTGATGAGTTACCCCTGACGACAAAATGATCCCACTTTAAAAGTCTACCAATGTTCTTTTGCGTACATTCTTATACACGTATAGCAAGCTCAAAGTTTCCGGGTTTGAAATCCTCCAATAGCTATTCAATACTACTTTCATTCGCATTAGCTTTCAGGCACCGGCCCTCTAGAGAGGCGATTCCGTGGGCCAGTTCATTGAATCTGTTTGTGATCTGAAACAATTCACATTATTGCCCTTATTACTATTAGCACACATCCTATCACTTTGCACCTTAACCAACTATAAGCAACATTTAACCAACTTTGTATCGAGGTCTTATTTCTTTGCTGTGCAACAAATACGGGCAGTGTCGTTCTTTTGTATCCAAAACGAGCACACTTCGTCAAAAGCACTGCAATGATTAATTATCTCAAACGATAAAGAAAAAAGAATTATTTTTGGATAAAATTTAGCGCCGGCTAGGCATTGGCTTAATACAATCGTAAAGCACCGAAACTCATTGAAGCAGCACTTAAGCTCGAGCAAGTATGGCTCGATTACATATATGTTACTTATTATATACATGTTTACGTGCCGTAGATCTACAAACGTTCCAATCATACAATCACATACCATAATCTCAAGACGGTCCATCCTGTCACTCATGTCAGCAATCTGGCCAATAAGCTTATTCAGTAAAGCGGATTCAGCCTGACGGATAGCCTGAAAGGAATGTATCAGGATAGGTAATAATGGTCTATGATATTATGAAGGCATTGTGCGACTTGGTGGAATATCTAGCTAAACAAAACTTAGGCTTTGAAATATTATTATTATTAGTATTACTATTTACAATCCCACATCTTTCACAAGAAATCAGGGTCGAGCTGGCAGCCACTAAAGACTGTCTTTTACACTAGCATGTTTAACTACTTACCGCCGCTTCATTTACCACTTCTTCCTGAAGTTCCTTCGATCTGGTTGTGGACTCCTGCCTTTCTTGCTCTTCATGAAGGTCGTCGAGAGATATCCGTCTGGGCTTGATTGTTCTCCGCGCGAGCGTCATCCGACGCGTACGGCGAGCCATCATTTCAGCACCGCTTTCTACTCGGTTATTTGACTCTAATGGAACTCTTTCGGCAAGGTCCCCAGACGCTTTCGAGACTGGATGCTTATTGTTGGTGTCCACAACGTCTCGTTCGTCAGCCGTTTTCTCCTTTTCGTCGGCGACTGGAACACCCGCTGCGATTCGGTCAATCAAGTTGTTAGACAAGGTTACACTGGTCGGTGCATTTTGTAAAATATTAGGATCTTTATTCGAGTTACCATTAGCACACTCAGGATAAGACGACATTTGGTGTGATTGCGACATCCGCTCTTCATCTTCAAGTAGGCGCGTCAGATCGCAATTGAAGATGTTGAGCTTGCGCCCCCGCCCGGGTACACAAAGTAGGTCCGACGTATCGAAATCATTTACAGGAGGGTCGCATGGCTGAAATTTAGTAGAAGATTCATGTTTAAAAAGTAAAAAGACCCGGCGCTGACTATTGGCTGTACTTAGCAGTACGCATTGTGGGCCAATATGAGTGTTCTTCAGAACACTGCTGAAGGTTTACTAAAGTTTCAACCGTGCAAAAAATAACACATTGTTTTTTCAACTAGCAGTTAAAACTCATTTAAATTGAAAAAAAAATAGCGCAAACCGTTGTTCTTCAAGCAATCATTTTAAGTTTATAGCGGGTGTATAGCCCTATGCTTCTTTTGCATATGCACTTCTATACTTCTTATCCGAAATATACAGAATCATTAATTAGAATCGATGCTACAGTAATAGCTACTAATCATTTGTTTGGCGAATTCGAATTCATTAATACGTAGCGGCACAGCACGGGTAGTACGCGTAGTGGTACCAGTTTACCAATAATGATTTACAATTATAACTCTATTTTGTGAATTGCTACCACATATGAGAAAACGAGCTCATCTATATTTCTAATATCCCTATCACTACCGGGAACGCCCGCAATGTATCCGGGCATTATTCATTCCCCTTATCGTAACCATTGTCTGATATGCAACACTTGATGCTCAATCTGTTATGGCAAATAATTGAATGCAAAAGAACCTCACTGATTTTTCTTGGAAATCAGAGAAATGCAAATGGACAATAAAATCAACGTGCAAGAAAGGATATTGTAAAGAAATCCTATAGCTCACTGATACCTACTCAAACTTCCGAACACACATCTCTAGTTAGAATGAATATCTATCAGTAGTACGATTCCATGATGCATATATCGTTCTTTTTCAGAACCAACAAAGAATTTTTGGCTTTTTCTGTCGTGTTATTTCCCTCACTTCAAGGTAATCGTAGTTGTCTCACCGAGAGAAACAACGCTTGTTTGACTGGCATCTTGATTGTAAACGTGGTTAACGGTACGCCATTCAGAAGATCAATAATGGACACGCACTGATCTTCAGGGCAAGAAGTCGCTACGAACTGGCCAGACGTATGCAACGACAAACTACGGATCGGGTTGTCGTAGACACGGTACGTGGCAAGGACTTTCTTAGTCCTTGCATCGAATACCCGCAAATTGTTATCCCGATGCCCCACTACTAGATGACCTTCCGGCAGGAAACCCAGCGAAGACGCACCCCTGCAAGCCATTTTGCGACGGTCGCATGTTAATGCAGAAGTTAACTTTTTTCTCAGCCAGACACATGCTTGTATTTCGTATAATAAACAAGATTTGATACTAACCCGCCGCAGTGATTTGCAATCGCGCTAATTGGATTCTGCGAGCGGATGTCCCATTCAATTATCTCGCGATCGTCTCCAGCAGAAGCGAAGCACAGGCCATCCGAAGTATACGTGAGGTGTCTGTAAGCGCATTAAAAAGTTTTTTTAAAATGGTACGACTGTACCACGTTGTTACTATGGTAATATCTCAGCGATCAATTTCAATATCATAGTGCGTTTTGTGTTTCCTCGTATTTACAATTTCATAGAACTCAACCGAAAAGAACCGGTCATACGACATTTATAGTTGAATCCGTTCGAATAAGTACTTACACACCTAAACGTAATAAGCGAGGCGCTAGTTAGGAATTGAGTTGTGGTGGATCGATGCAAGTCACTGAAATTGTCCCTATAGTTATAATAAACGATCATATAAATATATGATTCTCGTCTGGAATCGTCATACCTCACGGCGTTGTTGTGTTTACGGAACTGGCCAAGAAGTTTTTGCCCAGAGACGGTCCACAGTTTGACGACCTTGTCAGCTCCGCCTGAGATAAACGTATCACCACAGGAATCAACATCCAGGGCGAAAACTGGCGCATTGTGGGCCAGCAGATGCCGCTGGAACTGGACAGGGTTGACGTTGCGCGAAAAGTCTCTAAATAACAACACCAATCAATGACTATTTTATTCATTATTTATTAATGTAATTTTTACGGAGAAGAAAAATAACAAACGTAAGGCGCTACATACAATCGAAAATGATAATAAGCCCTGGATATTTTTGTGATGTTTTATTAGTAATCAGTAATTGCGCCACTTGCTTGATACCGTTAATGTTGAAATCCAAAAACCAACTTTCTCGTTCCAGAAATCCCCTTATATTAACCGTATACGTTGAGTTTAATTGCTATGACGCTTAAATTTTGCATTAAATAGAAACACTTCTCGACACCACTACCGCAAAACCGGTTACAGCGTATGGAGCACTTAATGTCTCTGAAGTCAGAATATGACTGTCAGACCTGTAAGGATGTAAACTTGCTAACCAAAACGTTAACTACAGGGAAAGCGCTATTAAGGAAGCAAGACATTATTTACAAATTTGGCATATGACAAAGAGAATTGACGTAATTAATCGACAGCGAATTCACACTAAACTTCATTTCCCCTATCTTAGGTACGTGCTCGTGCATTTACAATATACGCGACGGTCAGAAAAAACATAGGTCAGTTTGTTTCTTACTTTTTTAATTTGAGGATCGACACTTCGCCCGATAACGCCGAGATCACTAGCAGGTCCCGCTTAGCAAATCGTACCTCGGAGATATCGTTTACGAAACTAATTCGTCTGTTCAATGTGACGTCGAAATCGTGCACATGAACGTCGCGTTCACGGCCACATACCGCTGGATGTACGGAAGAGAAAAATGGGTTAGCTATCCAAAGGGTAAGTAACGTAATACGGCTTTCGGATAACAAGTTAGGCATAGAAGAAGATCTGACAAAAAAAGCTATTCATTCATTCGTTGATTTTATAACACATGATAAGAAATGATACTGGCTTGTTTTGCAGTTAGCGTACCAATTCGGTTCGCGCCGTTCCATGCCATAAAAGAAACGCCATTTGATCCCGGCGTGATGGTAAGCTCCAGCTGAGGTTCCTGGGGGAATAAAAACCGAATGATAATAATAGTAGTAATCTATTCTATTAAATAATTGATTTTATTAAATAGTTAATTTGACTCGTATAAGCTTGTAGTATAAATTAATGAGGATCCTGACACGAATCAAATCAGTGATTTTAAAATTTTTAGTTTAGTTTAGTAAAAAATAAAGCAAAATAACAATAGTAATAATCATGAAAAGTTCAAAAATCATTCAGAGTACTCATAACTTAATCACACTGATTTTATGTGGAGAAATTTATCCAGTTTTATCGTGCTGCTAATTTGTCGTTCTTTCCTTCTCTAATCTAACAGTAGTGGTGGTCACTCGGGTAAATTATACATTTACGAACCTACGAATTAGGCTTTGCTTTTCTGGAAGCTAAATTCCAAATTTTTATTGATTATAAATTAATTCCACTTGTAAATTGGCAAACACATCAGCGTTTACGCATTTCGATTCAAACCAGTTTGAGCATTGTTGTGAGACACTTGAAGGTAAGGAACTTTCTGTTTAGGTATGTGAATAAACTTCTCTAAACTTAAATGTGCAATTAATCGTCATTGATGAATAACATGTATATGCTTTTTTTTTTCATTTAGAATGATTGACCATCTTTTGTCAAGTACTTGACAATTATACCTGCTTGCATATTACTCAGCATAGTGGAAACACTGTAGATTTACACACATAATTATATGTTGTCAAATATTCGTAAAAATTATGAGTGACTCTCAATGAATAGAAGTTTGTTATTTCAGAAAGTTTTGGTGAGATCTAGAGTGCTTAGGCTCAGCTCTCCTCGTTACGGGACGTCAACGCTACGGAAATAACGTGGTTGGTTTAGCACAGTGTTTTGTGTCGGGAGGCGTCAGCCATTTGAAAGAATACGTTACGGTAGTAGTAGACATAAAATTCGACACATTTAAATAGTGATTGGCCGGACAAGTGCATGAAATGTTTCAGTGACATAGTTGATTTAAAATAAGTATGGTATTTTGAGAAAAATTTAAGAGAAAAATATTTCGCGTTTATAGATAACACATTGTTTACACAATACTGCTTAGTACTTTTACATATGTTGTCTTTCTCATACATCTCAATTACCCCCTAACGACCTATAGCGGGGTGCGTCTAGTGGCCGTGGTTATGATAATTTATAAACGACCAAATTATACTATTACAATTTATTATGACTAAAAATCGAATTACTGTAAATGTGTTAAGAGTTCGTGACTCCGTATATACAGCCGTGTTCAGCTTAAGTCGAAATATACAAACAAATCAGCATGACAGACACCCCCCTATATAATTACAATGCACAGTCAATAATAACCATAATAATGATAATAGCAACAGACCTACCCATTCGTGTTGGCGCGACTGTCCTTGTTTAGGGTCCATCTGAAAGATTCTTAGAGTAATAATTAATTCAGTGAAATTATTATTGAAGCTGACGAACGATCCACTTGTGACTGAGCAGTACTTCACAAAGACAACAGTAGGCTGAACAAATTAGACAAAAAGCGTTTTTGCTTGTTATAAGCTGAAGACATATGAAACGACCAGAAACCTGGACGATCATATGAAGGCATTGATTCACCGCTTAGATTGCGCGGGCGTTTTTGCTGCCTGCGAGTTTACCGCATACGAGAGGCTTTCTGGGTTGATTCTGGGATTAGCCGTGACGCCCTAATCGGCGGGATAGGATGGATAGCCCTAGACGCGCTGTTATCTGGCTGACTGTATAGTTCCGGAGCCATTACAAGGATGTGAACGAAAACAACGTGCACTCAAATTTAAACGACCTATCGTTCTGTTCGATACCGCACCGAAATAAAAAAAAATGACTCTAAAATTTGGCGTTTCTTTACAATGGATATTGCTATCCTAGCCAGTTTGTGTCGTCCGCACCGGCATTTGTTTTATACTTAATAGTTTTTTTAAATTGATTATTATTTCAGTCAATTACCAATTGTGTAGGAATTTGGTTGTTGAATTTTGTAAAAAAGTAAACCAACTTATTTAGGAAAATTTATTTTTAAACTACGATATTTATCTAGTAAACATTTTAAATACTGGTACTGTAGAAATTTTAAGAAAAGTAGGTTAAATTTATGTATTTTGCATTGCAAGCAGACTGGGCTAGGATACATCATTTTCGATGTTACAGGTTTCTCGTTTACTATTCGAAGAAATATAGAAATAAATGATATTTTGAAAAATTCTGTAAACAAAAATGGCTATGATAAAAAGGACGAAATTGTTTATATAGATAACCTATCTGCCTCAATTTTATATCAGGCTTTCAAATTGGGCTGGGCAAGAATCATTGAGCGGTTCTTTAATAATGCTTAAATATTTATTTGTATGCATTCGGTGTTTGGTATTGTAATATCAAAGAGCTTTGCCCCGTCTCTTTTGACCCTCTGTTTATCAACATATCTATTTACGAGTAAGCTTCTTCATATCATATATTAGAAATCTCATGCGTCAAACAAACGTAGCTATAAGTGGCAAACAAATTTAATAAGGCTTAATACTATTATATAATATGTAGCGGTCCGTGGTGCTTTTTCTTACCTGAATCTTCGCTGGTTTTTCATCTGTTGCCTACTCAGTAAAAGTTTTATGATGATGCAGTTACTACAGTAGTACAGTTGTTTTAATATGAGCAGTGTGCGTTATCTGAAGCGTCTGAGCGCAGATGCTTCAAATAATGCTATTCGGAATCAAAATCCCGTGCAACGCGATATGTATATAGCGTGCTGTTCTCTATGCTCTATGGTCACTACACTGCTGTGTGACTTCTATTTTTAAAGGAAAGCATTTTAATTAAACGTGTGGATTGTGGCAGGTAGAGATTGGATAGGACAGTACATACAGAGCCTGTAAATGTGGAGCACAAAAGATCAGCTGCTATATTAAAGAACTCATACGTTCAGAAAACACCAGTAAGATTGGCTCGATTAAGTAGCTATGCCTCAATAGAAAACAGTGCTATTAACGTCCAATGCCGGTACTAATCGTTGAATATGCATTGAATGTAAAATATTTTTTTTAATTCACACTGACAGGTTTACTGTCCACGTATTGAGCCGCTATCATTATGCTCATTCTTTTGATTGTGTTAACCTACGGGTTGTGGCAAAATCTATTGAAAACGGATCCATGTCATGTGTTAAAAATAAAAGATGTAACAATGAAGCTTGTTGAGCTTCGTAGGTATCGAACATTTAAAGATCGGATTTCTTCGCGTTTTCTATCACGTCCAATTCGCACAAATGAGTGAATTGTTATTTCTATCATGCTTAAGCTCGTCCAAAATATTAGAAAAAAACACGTTGTTCCTGTATCAGCTGTTGTATAAATCTCATTTGTTAGAAGCAACGCTGTCAAAGCAATAGCCTGCTTTACATTAACGCGTTACCGTTGTTCTTACGGAATCTCATTCATTTAATTGTATCGCGGAACCGATAAAAATATCTGGGATTTATTATAGTGCTCAGTACTCGTAATAAGCATACCCACTCAGTTACCATTCGTTGAGCAGTTTGCTGCACTACCCACGTTTGCGCAAATATTACTATGGACTCTTCAAAGAATGACATCGCAGCGTTCACTGTACAGTTTGCAATTAACACCGTGTTTTTTTTCTTTATTGAAACATATTGTAGGCGATCAATGTATGCATACAGCGCTGGAGTGAGAGACGGATCGTACAAACGTATTTCTGATGCTCTTAAAAGTGCGTACCCAATGAGCAGTATCAGAAATTGAAAATTACGCGACGCACAGTCAATCTGATAATAAGCATCCTTTTTATAGCCTTTAATGTCTACAAACAAAGTTAATACGCTCAACACAACGCATATAGCATACACCTCTAGTTTAATTTATGTGGTGAATCTATAATAAGATTTGAAAGAGCGCCAAAACAATTTAATCATATAATTGTATGTATAGGCAAATACTATATTTAGTTTCCCTTTTGATCATCCAACTTGGCACCTCATCCGGAACAACGTTCTAAAATATAGCATTCGGCCTAGATTTGCGCGATATAATTTCATTCCTATTTGCAAAAAGTAAGTATAATTGTTCAGAAAAAAAAAAGGCTTTTATCAACGATTGAATAGAAACACTAACATAAAAATCCTTTATAGCAAGCTGTCGCTAGAAAGCAATTGTAGTATCGCCGTTTCAGCATTGTTTGCACCGGGAACAATTTCTCTCCGAAGGATAGTCGAGTAGAGGAATCATTCGTCGATTCGAATTTTATGCCTTGCGTTGATTGACGGCTATTTCTACCGTGGCAGATGTTTTGTGCTTTCACAATTTTCAACAGCAGCATTAATAACTGCCTGTGTCTGTTCTTCCGTGCGAGATCGCTTGCCACTTGATAAACTGTATGGACAAATACTTGCTAAGTGCGGCAGCTGTGTCAGTGGTGAGCTTTTATATAGCAGCGAGATTTCACAAGAAAAATAGGGTGGTAAGTGTGATGGCAGTGTACTGTATTTACTGTAATGATATACTATGCATTTAAACTGTTGCTTTCGGGTGGTGTTTTTCGAACAAACGAGTTTTACTAGAAACGACGTTTTTCAATGTACCTGGAACAATCCTTAACCAATACGCCATTACCCGTTGATGGCGAGAAGTAGCCAAAAAAGAAAGCCTATAATATAGAGCGAACTGATGCGCTATCTATTGGTATATTAATAAAATAATGATTCGGTCTAATTCGATCGCATAGTTAGACACATAGGGAAATAATCGAAATAAACAATGTCTTCTAATGAGAACGTGTTACCGGTTGAAGTTGAAACAAAAAAATGGCACGATTAAATACTTTTATCGATTTATGTACGAGTTAAAACCCCTGCTTTTGAACGAACAGACCACGTTACCAACCAGTTTACCAACAATGCCCACAGCATGTCCCATTAAGCTGCTGTTTCTTTATTTAGCCGGTAATTGAACCAATTAGTAACCAGCATTTCGCTTGTTATGTTCTTATTTATCGTTGGATTACAGAAAATGGCCGCCCGCCAAGTGGTCAACGATCTCATAGCAAAGAACGCGCTTGTAGTCTTTTCAAAGACGACCTGTCCATATTGTCAGATGGTTTATTCGATCCTCGTTTCTGACATAAAAGTAAGCGCAATATTGAGCCGCCATATTTCATCAACATGCCGAAAGTGTTTAGAAAGATGATTTTCATTTTTTTTTCGCTAGAAATATTTATGAATAAATTTGTCGTATGGTCGTCATGTCAGAAACTAGCTAACAATAGTGGTGAAAAAAGTGGAAAATGAAAAAATACTCAATTATTTTACATATCGTTGAAGTGAGGTAATTTCGTCCATAAAAATTAATATAGCCAGTACATTCTGCATACAAATTTGCTATTTCTGTCAGGTTATACATTGTTGTATTTTTTTTAAAATAATAATTGATGATATTGGATATATAATTGAGCCATTATTCTATACATTTTAGGCTGAGGCAAGGTTCGTCCAGCTGGATAAGCGTAAGGATGGACCGTTAATTCAAGACGTACTTCAGGTGAGAAGACCCTGGACTTTCCTTCTAATGACGCTTCTTATATAAAATACTTCATCTGTTTGTAGGACTGTGGCCCACCAGGCGGAATATACTATAACGATCGGAGTGTAATGAACGCAACGCAGAAAAAGAGGGACCCTTTAGTCACGTCAAAATGTTTTTCTTACTTCGTCGATAAGGAAACATTTAGAAATTGAATGATCTACCATTGAACGAAGAGTAGTCCTAAATGACCTAATGATATACCATTTTTCTGGCATAGGTTTATTTTACGTACAACTCTACGCCTAGTCGAATACATAGCTCATCTCGACAGTAATTTTTGGGATTATAAGGTTCATAAAAATCTCCATTGAACTTATGCCTTAATTGTGCCTAAATATATAGTACTAACAATTTATTTTAAAATATTGAATGTTTTGCAATCACTAGGAGATGACCGGTAGTCGCAGCGTGCCGAAGGTCTTCGTCCGAGGATCATTTATTGGCACTGGTGATGATACTCGTGCACTCTACGAGAACGGGAAGCTTGTTGGCATTCTGGCGAAGGCCGGTGTTAAAATGGCTCAAGAATCAAAATTATAATGCTAATAAGTAATATGCCATCGTATGGTTGTTTGCACTGAAAGCTTCAATCAATAATGGTTACAAAATGAGACATATTTGGTGAATAGTTTTTAGATACTAGGCTTATAGGTCGAGTGTACGTTCGTATTTATATCAAGGACAACTAATATACTTACAATGATATTTGTACAAGGATAACTAGAAGTAGTATTGACGGCTATTTAAATTGGCAATCTAGAGGCAGATTAAGGATGACTTATATAAAAGATACCATTGTTATTACTAATAGATATGTTTTCTAACATGTGCATGTATTTACGGTTTGGTATCCACTTCTTCTTGATATAGCTTGAGAAGTTTTTTTAAAATTTAAATACTTTCTTAACTACAATAAATCCAATCCATTCTTAAAGATTTGTACTCGCAAGTTCGTGTTTAGCTCGCTGGTCCTGCAGACGGCAGTATGATCATAAGGCCACACCTGATAATATTCTTTGTTTAGCTTAATAGCCACTTAATTCATGTGTGTCATCATTTTGCGTATTGAAAGGTAATTTGAGGATTGATTTGAGGATTTTGAAGGGTAAAGATAGTGTTAGATTTGAAACGAAGTAGTTTTCTTTTTGACCGTAAAAAGATTTTGAACGCTGTAATAGTTATATCTTGATTTTTTAAACGTCTGCAAAATAGCTATACAGGCGATTGCGCAGTTGTGATCCTAGAGAGTATCCTGTGTTATGTTTAGGTGGGCCTAAGATACTAATTTTATAGACATTAATTTATGGTTTCGCTATCACTTAAGACTCATGAGATGGCACTGCTCGGCTAAAATCTCTAAATAGGCGAGATTATTTATAATATGACAAATGACGAGTGAATATATTCGTTATTTGTCGAATTACGCTAAAATAGCGCTATGTTTGCGTAGACCCAATGTAGGTATTATATATGTAACACCTAATGTATTTTATTCATGTGCGTAACACCACGACTAAATGCAGAAAAAAAAGACGTGTTTAATAACCTAGTAAGCGAGGTTAAGGGTCGACCCAATTCGGATCAAAACCTGGATAGATGGACTTTAAAGGTCTTATGTGACGCAATAATGTGCGTGAACGGAACCTACCACACTGTACCTCTGGTTTTGGTATTAGGTATTATTTGATTTCCAGCGTGAAACGAAATGTGCTTATATCCTATATTAAATCTGAAGATCCTATCACTCATTGAAATCAATAGAAAAAGTAATTCGGATTTCTTTATCACGGAAAAACCAATGGACTACAGGATTATGAATAGGTCTATTGTTAAAAAAATTCTATTGAACTAGTAGCATAGCCGACAGATACCCCCATCAAGCTCCTCTTAGGCGCATTGCTAAAAACCAGTATAGATACTTGAAGATGCCTGTAGTTAATAGAGTGCCCTCCTCGTTGTCTTAAACCTTGCTTATTGTATGGCGGATATATTTCCTAACGAAGAAAGAAAAATTTGTGACATAAGTTTCTCCATTGGCACATGCCGCAGAGCACCCCGATTGGGTTAAGAAAGATTATGTCGTTGATTGCAACATAAGAATCTATAGATCTGATGTCTTCGTGTTGATTCTCACTAAATTTTTCCGTTTTCTTGGTGTTCTGGAAGGTCGGGTTTGCTTCCATTGTCATTGAGCTGGAAGAAATTCGAAATCTGGACTTCCCCGTCAGAAAACGAGTACGTTAAATTGTTGTAAAGCGGAGTTGGGCGTCATTACTGCTATGCTGCACTATGTTTGATGCTGTATATCGGTATCGTTGTTTAACGACATCACTCCTTTTACATTATTGGGTCAGCTACTTGGGTTCTATTTTATCATTTTTACAGCATTAAAAACGTTTTTTTTTCTTTTTATTTCATTACATTTTGAATGCTTTATCAATTTTTCTTTTCGGTTTATTATCTCGTAGGCGGAGCCAACAGTCAGTCGTCAAATTTACCTGTTGAAAGCGTTAGTGACTCACCAATGTGATCAAGAACGGCGCGACCAGAGGTCCAGCGATAGGCAATATTATCGGTGTTAAGAATGAGAAGATTGAATTCTCCATTTTGCCTCGGATACGAGTTCGCGCAAACCGACTGTTAAATCGCTATTTTTAGCGGGCGTAAAAGCAGAATATGTCGTGAAGATGCTAACGAGGTTATGCATGCTATAATCATTTTTAACCAGAAATATATAGAGCTAGTAAATTTAATAAAGGCCGAAGGCAGAAGAATCTAACCTAACCTATTAGACCACACCGCAGGGTTGTTGCTACGGTAGCACAGTGTCTAAGATGACCCGGGGAATTGCTGAAAACGCTTGATAATGTTCGTGATGAGGTACGAGACAGGTTGTATATGTGTTTTTTGGGAAGCCGAGACATTTCGAAACGATTAAGCGCGAGATTGACTTCACTATACACAAAATAGCTGGGCTGATGTGTGATTATTCTGAGGATATCGTTTATATTCGCCATGGAGTCGAATTATCTTGTTTCGATTATATGAATCACATGACCCCAACGTTCTATCTTAGCAAACTAAAGACGTGTCCGGCTGCGTCAAAAAATATGAAAAATACTGTTTTTTTTTTTGGAGTAGAGAGATTCGCTTACAAATACGACACAGTTGACTTGTTCACGAGTCGGTTACATCGTTACGGTACCTCAATGCTTAGAAATATAATGGCTTTCATTTCAACGATGTTCATTGCTTTACGGCTAACATATTATTATGAATATTATAGTGAATTGAGAAGCTCGTTAAATCGCAACGAGGGTCTGCGGAATGTAGTTAGAACTATGAGCTGGTTTGGATGAGGCATTACTAAAAAAAGCAAAGTTCAGCAAAAAAATTAAAAGTTTACCAGGTAAATTCCATTACTCCGATTTCGGAGTACAGTATTGTCTTGGTACGATTTTTTCAAGGCAGAGAAATACTATATGATAATAATATAATTAAAATATAATACAAAGTCGTGTACTTGAAAATGCTCAATGTTAAGCTCAGAATGTGATGCATACACCTTTTTTTTTTACAAGTACTATCCATGTTGTTTGTCCATCTGAATCCATATGTTTATGATCCAGTTAGTTTCGAACGTTATCGGATTAAAGAAGGTACTGCTATTTATTATGTACAGGCGGTCTATCCTGCAAGTGTAATTTTTTGTCGGTTATGTTCGGTCGTTTTTTTTACGTTTTTATTTGTTATCAGCACCAAACAAGTCAGTTTGAACAGTGTGAATAGTAACAGTAACGTGGTACCCAAAAACGTATTGCTCTAAGTAAAGATCTTCTACTGATTAGCAATAGCTATCAGCATTCAATACGATAAAGTCGAAAACGCTATATTCGCATAGGTATACTTCCCGATTTTCCAGCTCCAGCTTTATAAAATCGCAAGCAATCTCCTTGATTTGTATAGAGGACATTTCCTAATCGTCTCGGATCGAGCAGCCTAGATAATCGCTGGCCGCTGCTATCAGCAAGCGAGCCCGTTTTTGGCAAGCCCAATGAATTTTGACGTTTTAAAAACTTTAAACCAATAGCTTTTATATGGGATGCCTTGAATACGTGAATTAGTGGCCATTATACAATATAACCTATTTATTAGACTTATAATTGCAACCGAACAAAGCCCGTCGGAACCAAGTCCCACCGTGAACCCTCAGTTCCATACTCGGCCCAGATAAAATAGGTTTTGGCCTAGTGGTGTTCAGTTGCACGTAAACTGCGCTGCTTAAGTACACTTAAATTAAAAGTAAATAAAAAAAATTAAAAAAAAAAGTGAATTGATCCAAAGAGATGGCCGGTGAAATGGAAGAAAGTTTCAATTCTCGTTTAACATAGTAACCTGATCTAAATCCACAAATACTTTTTCCTATTAGCCCACAAGTTCAATGGCTACAGTTTGAACAATAATGGAGCTAGTGATTATTATGCGGAAGCTATTTATTAACATTAGAAATTATGTTTGATGAAGGGAGAAGGTTAGCCAAAGGGACTGGGTGTGCTGACGTTCATGATGTCATTGCATCGTTGTCGTTTGTTTTGCAAGTTTTCATAAAAATCAAATGTATTCTCACCATGAAGAACAACTGGCAGTCAACGTTTGACGCAAAACTCTTTCGATCTTGTACCAATCAATGTCCGTATTATTCCTATCGTAAAGACAAAGTATTCTAGAAAATGGAAGATGAAAGTAATTGCAATAGGAGCAAATCGTTTATAGAAAACAGAATGCAACTGGGTTAAATTACGTATTTAGAAGAAGGCGAGTGTTAGGAAGGATAGCAGAGCCGCTTCTGATTGAGATTTTCTCTATGCACACTATAAAGATGTGCATGGCATCAAATCTTAACGCCTTGACTAGAGATAGAATTTCATCGAAAGTTTCAGTTATGAAGGATGAGGTGGTTTTCTCAACGTGATTATTTATTCGGTACTGAGCCCTCAATGATGAATACTTGGGAAGCGAGGTTGGAACATTTTCGGGGCTCTAGAAAATCAAATGTTTTTGGTATTATCGTTTAAACATTGAAATGTTCATATGTTTTGAAATTGTTTCAAGCATGTTTTGACCAAATCGCTGCTCTGTAGCATTTTATCTGGCGATGTCAAGCAACACTAACATAAGATATAACAGTTTTTACATGTCGCACTCCAAGGCAATAAGACTAGTTAACCTTTCCGGATATATTTAAATGTTTTCACTTAATGATGGTAAAACTACCAACTAAAATTGCAGCGAAAGTGAAGACACTTACAGATAATGACGTCTGGCTGCAGGTCAAACAGGAAAAGTATCACCAAAAATGTATGAAGACATTATTTTGCTATAAATTAGGGTCTATAAGATGAGATTAGCTCTCGACTTGCTTTGCATTACGGTTTATACTACAGCGAAAATCAAAGTTTGTGGTCCGCCTGTAAGAGTGAAACCTGCTAAAAATATATATATGTACCGCGGCTTACCACTGTATTTTTTTTAAACTTCATCACTTTCTTTAAAATACATGAAAAAAAACTATTTTAAATGACCCCTTAAAATCAGGCTGTATCTACTGTAAGCTTTACCTAGTAAATAAATACATTGAACCATATCGTATGACGGGGAAATAATAAATAACATTTATTTAAACAAGAAACAACGTAATTACTGTTATCATTATTAACTCTACTTGCACAATTTCATTCACGGGTATCATTTTGCACTCGACCGAATACTCACTCGTTTTCGCTCTGAACTGGCCATCCCCAATGCCCTCCCACACCCCGATCACAAAAAAGAATCGCTAACAAAAAAGAAAAAAATACAAAATGGTCAGCGGGATCTGAGCTTGTTCCGTCTTGTTCATTTACTAATTCCGATGTATTTCGGCATTTCAACGTATTTCTAGTTGGTCGAATGTCTACACAGAGAAACCCCCCTTTCAAGTGGCTTCTGTTGCCAATGTGGTAACATTAATCATACCTTCATCGTTCTGACGCGGTCTGCAATTTTCGATATCGCGATAGTTTTGACGATAATGACTCATCATCAGGAAGATTAATAAACGATCACCCTGTATTACGTCGATACTAATAAATAGTACTAGGTATTATTAAGTAGAAAAATTATGAACATTCATCATCATCGTAGATTTAATAAATAGCAAAGTTTACTCGACCAATCTCCGTTTGGCGGTTTTTGCAGTGCAGCGGGTCCTTTTCGACACAATGCGATAAGCCCACAACGGTGATCTTGCGATTGCTTCGAAAACTTAGTATCACTCCAGCTACAAGGCTAAGTCTTAAAGAACTTAGCCGTGGCCGAAATTGACGATTGCACCATTATACATCACCGTAGCATAACGTACTGCACGTTACGGATGTCTGTTTGATCAATTTCCAGAAATGTGTCATGTATCAGGCCTGATGTTTAGCTGGTAATCGTTTCTTAGGACTTCTACTGGCTGTGGGCATCTTCTGGCTTTACAACACGAACAAAACATCAATGGATTTCGGCCGGAGGGTCTAAGCTCTCATATAGTATAGTGTCCCCTTACGTGCGCCGTTCTTATTGATGTATATGGGTAACAATTACGCTTTGTCCGATGCTGCCGAGTGAAATACAATTTGCTTCAAGAGTGGAGCCAAGTGCTTGGTTGATTCCATTTGTACGTCGTTGGACACTTCAGTTTTACATTATGTAGTCGCGATGTATGCTGCAAATGGGACTAACCACAAAGTTGATTCTTGAAAATTGCTTGTAATATTACAGTATAATTATCATTAAGATTATTATTACTTGTTAAATTGATTATTTATTAAATTTTGTGCATATTTGCAAAATAACAGAGCACAGCTCCATAAACCTTGGTTGGGCCAAACAACGGGTCATTTGAAGCCTTCAGCTCTGTGCTGCGGAGTATATTAATTTCCACGCTCGTTATCACCGTTTCATCAACGGCATCTCTCATTGTTTTATTTCTTCGATGTTTAGACGATTTGTTTGACAGTTCAAGCTTTTTGGTCCTGCTTCAAAATGCTCCCATTATTAACGCATCTTGTTTCTCTCTCTTTCTCCCATTTTCTGTTATAAAGTTATAATCTAACCTGCAGAACCTAAACTATCCTATGACTAGATCGTATATACAACCACGGCAGTGGGTTACGCACAGTACATGGGTATTTCAACGTATAGTACAGTTACGTGTTTAGGTAGCATTTTTGTATTTGTAAAATTGTCTAAAATGTTGTCTCCATCGCCTTCTCTGCATCTCCAAGTCGTTCGGCGAGCTGCCGTTTGTTACGGGACTCATAGGGTTACCATAACAGGCATGTCCCGACCGCTATCGGAAAAGGTCTGCGAATCCATATTTTAGATATCTGTTACTTTTCCTCTCCTGATACAGTGGCGGATTACAGTTCTGCACGGTTGTGTGATCTGAAAGTCAATATTGCCGTGCTGAAATTTGCTATGTGAGTTGAATTTGTTTTCCCCAGTTCTTTTCCCTCCGATTATCAGTGTAGAACTCATTGCTGGTTCTTAAAATATACTAGAGCGTATTTTGTACCGTTTCAATGAAATCAAACCTAATATAAAATCCAATTTTTTAGCTTATTCATTTTTTAATACAAATATAGATTAAAAAGAACTCACAGTAGGGAGTAATTTAGAGTACCATTACAATCTTTTTACACGCGATTCAAGTGATGTGCGCGTAATTTTTATATATTCCGCTGCAATAATTTTCCGCGCGCATTACATCCAATTAGTGTCCCGGTAGTTTTAGTATGAGGGGAACCCCCAACGCGAACCGGCTCCTTTTATAGCTATGCATTTTATCGTTGTTGTTACTGCTGCTGCTGTTGTTGTTGTAAATATTTGTTAGTCTCTTGGTTGTCACATTATCATTTTATATTAGTTTTTATGACTGCTACCTATTGTTATTATTGTTGTCAGCATCATCATCATCAAATCACCCGTTTTTCTAGCTAGGGAGATTTTTTTTAAAAAAAAAATTTTGTTGTTCGTAGCCTTTATTTTTTTCTGTCGTTCTGTCTTGCGGTCGATTTTCGCTTCTCTCCGCTAGATGAATTTGTTGTATGAAAAGATATCGTTTGTTGAGAATGAGGCGCCGTCCCCCGTGTCGATCGAAGCAGTTTCTGTCATTTATCACAATTGCTACCGGCTCTAACCAGTCCGCACTTAATCGTGCGGGTTGTATTCTCGACCACTAACAACGTGAAAACATGTAGAAGACGCGCTACCGGTAAGTCAAGGGTAGGCCAGATGCAGGGCAGTGAAGTCAGTTACTTAGTTCGATCGGAGGCGTCCACGATGAGATGAAATTGTCACTGAACTCCATTATCATTGTCCGCTCTCCAGGATCACCCAACCTGCCATAAGGTTCACTAGAAGCCCCTCCTTAGCTGCTATAGTGGCGTACTCTCATAGCTTTTCCGAGACTGAAATTCAAAAAAGGGCAAACATACAGCGCAAAAATAGACTATGTTCGCGTCAGTGTTGTACGCAAGTGCTTCTAAACTGTAGTTGAAAGGTGTTGAACTCAGCTGAGTGAAGGTTAGGCGTTACGCTATCTATTACCAGGCGCCTCCAGATACCTTAGCTAGAGTTATGCATTTCTTAACGAAGGCTGAAACCCCTCAGCGCTAATGTACGCCTGCGCAAGACCTACTCATGTGATGGTATACTGGAGCCGTTTGGTTTATTGGCATATACTCTAAAAGTCTAACTCCTACTAGGTGTAAAGCTTGACACAGACGACCAATCCAAAGTATTAAGTAGAAGTCAATCAATCGTTTAGAAAAATGGTCAGACTTTGAATACGTCAGTCAAAAAATTCCGAAAAAAGGTCCGAAAAAATTCGCATCGACATCAATGTGTCAGTTGATGGCTGTGTGGATGCAGACCCCGGATAGCTTTTGGAACAGAATCGTTTTGTTCCTTGAGACCACTTTGGCTAACTGTTCCCGTATCATATCAACTTCACACAGGAGGAAGCTAAAAGGACCAGTGTTGCAGGCACTGCAAGCAGTTCTGGGCTATTTTTTAATTCGTTGTTAGTCAGGCAAAGCCATGCAAGAAGCAGTCACCTTGAGGAGTGCGTCCCCATAGAGCGAACCATGGTACTTTATACGGGGTGGACACTGCCTGATTGAGCAGTATCGCCGTCTGATGTATGCCCTTCATTATCGCCGCGCGTTACCGGCAATAACGGCCCGGCCATTGCGCCGACAACAGGTTTCGCCGCCGTTTCCATTACCTTGACCACCTCTAGTTTGTCGTCGCGAGGACCCTCATCCGTCGTATCAGGGTCACCTGACCCTGAAGAATAGGGAGGGTCCCGTCATTGACGGTCAGATTTCTAGCTATTAGCAATGAAAATAATGAACTTTACGAAAACGTGGCTCCTATACTCAACACTGCGTGGTGTCTGCGTATAATATTGGCAAAAGCTGTCCAGTCTATAATTAGGTCAACGGTATGATCCCAGCTACTGTCATACCCATTTAACGCAATACGTCAACTTGTTTATAAGTAGTCACACTTTTCCCTGACATCAACATCACGCTTCTGCACTCTGAACTTCTTTTCTAGGGTCAATTTAATTATTTCAAGTGGTAGATTGGGTTTTCCTTGAATAATAATAAAAAACTATAGTATAATTGCGTATCATTATACGAAAATGCTATTTCTCGTACAGATCGTGTATTTTCTTGTGATCGTTGTCGTAGGAGCCATTTTGGCGAAATATTATCTAACTTAGATAAACTTCGCTGAGGGTAAACTCAATTTTTGTCAACCTATGTCCACGACAAAGATAATTAGGATCATATGTGCTCTCTACGTTGAGAACGGTTTCCCCTATTTACACGCCTAAGGTGTAGCACAATAAAGGCTGGGGTTTTCGGTTCTGTCTGAAGCAATGCCGAACGTAAAGCTTCAAATATTTGAAGGTCAGCCTGTTATCGCCTGGGTACGTACTTGAGAGCGTATGGCTAATCTGAATTGTAGTTGTTCCATTATCGCGCTGGACAAGACTCATAGCAGGTTGTAGTCGCGAATGTTGCGAAGATGCTCCCGTACCGCCGTATGATTGGTGCCGATTTACTACACCGAAGCGTGTGCTCTGAGTTCGCGCTGCGGTAGCCATGCGATTCGCAAATTTGCCGAAATCCTATGGATCACGCGTAGAACACGAAAAAGAGTTACGGTGAAGTAGTAAAGCAAAGAAAAAGCTTTCTTTGCAGAGCAAAACAGGACAAGTCAAACATTTCAGTGATATAGATCTTGTATTGTGTTATCTTGTGAGAAAACATCAAAGATCTATCTGACGGCTTGGACTTGATAAAAAAAAAATAGTTTTTTGGGCCACGGTCAATGTTTTCCTGTGACATCATAGTGTATAAAAGAAAAGTATTTATAAATCTTTTGACTATCTGACAATCGAAAGCAATACGTAACAAAGAAATCAATATTTTATGATTAAGCATTGTATTTTTGTCCGAGAAAGCAACATAGGCCGCCGATCACCAATAACTGAGAACTTGTTTCGCAAGAGAGCGCAGGCCAATAACGAGCAATCCTGTCAGATCTGCTCAACCTGGTCGGCGATTCCTAGATAAATTGACACAAGCGACTCCACGACAAAATCGCCATAAAGATATCTATTCAAAAAATACAAAGGATTCAAAGACGGAAGTAACCCGTTATGGCAATGAAATAAGAGTAGAGGTGATGCCAATTTTTCAAGCAAGTTATTTGTCATGTGACGAGTTAAGTCCTTAATGCGGTCCTTACGATTCTGTATACACGTTTTTTGAGTTGGGATACGAACTTCTGCTGTCCTGCTTTGGCCTGTGCGGTACATTAGTGAGTCGATTAAACAATAGCCGTATGTTTGAATGCCTCTATGATGCCAAATTATTTTATGTATTAGCTATACGGTGTCGAAAACAAATCGTTACTTAGGGTGTTGCTAGGAAAAAAATAACGTTAATCAAATTCTTCAAGTCCTCAGCAGACGGATCCGTTCTTTTGTAAACTTCTTTTACTTCTCAGAACAAATTGATTATCGTCACCGTCACCACTGTTAAACGTACATCAGAAACCTGTTGGTAGTCGTCCAGCTAATTAATAGTGACGCATTCGTCTTAGTGAACTAAGTCTAGCGCGCTGAAATGATAGCATAAGGTAGTAACTGTTGTGTTAATGATGAGATGTTAATTATTCGTCCTTTGAATGTTTTCGAGGAATGAAAATGTTTTTTACTAATCCTAATGTTTCACGTTGCTGTTTTTACTTCTGTGTATTCACTGCTGCAGAATAGATGTAAGCGCGTACGTTCGCGAGAGTAATTCCTGTTGACGTCAGTTACACCGTTAGTTTAACTCTATTATGATTGACGTTAGATTCGGTCTTATTCTAGGTTCCGACTTTTCCTGGCTTAGATTACATCGACCCTTTGACACAATACCTGAATAGCTTCGAAAAAGGCGATTTGCCCATCGAATTAAACAGTCGTGTACCCTAGTTTCCAACCTGCGGGTACCACAAAACATAAAAGAAATTTAATAAATCCGATTCGTATAGAGAGACTTTCTTCATTGTACAACCACGGTAGAAAGTGCAAGTTTCAATTTTTGAAAAAAGTAAGCTACTCACATGCGTAAAATCTGCTTGTGACGTGCGTGTGTGTGTGTGTGTGTGTGTATGTGCGCGTGCGTGTATGCGGACGTTTATTACCCGCCTGAATGCTATCACAGTTACTGGGGGGGGGGGGGGGCTCGCTGAACCCGGGATTACTCGTTTACGAATATCAAATGCGTTTAGGATTAAATCATTAAAAAAAATAACGCCTCCATTTCTCTAATGATAAGGCAAGTGGTAGTACAACTAAAAATAATATGACAGCTAATAGAGTGATTTGATCATAATGTTAGATATGATTAATTAAATACTATTTTTATATTATAACTGTAACCTGGGCGTGAATGGTGCGTACCAAGTACGTTGAGAACAAACATCGGGGTTTGAACGTATGGGATTTTGTTTAAATTACTGGCGAAGTAAATACGTTGTATATCCCTATAATATTCATATCATGAAATCAACTAATAAAAGCAACGAGAAACATTAGGCGTTGTGCTAAACACTACCTGTAGCGTGATGGCGCGCTTTCCGTCAACCATCTCAAACTCTTCACCGAGTTCGTTGGTGTCGTTTCGCTCAGCAAGCGATTCCTCACGCGAACTGGTAGCTCCAGCCGTGGCTCGTGATACACCAACTCTTGAACCCGACCCACAGGGTAGGACTTCGCTTGAACCGTCGTAGGCTGCGTTGTCGCGCCCTCCGAACTCGGAATTGTCATCGCCGAACTCTGACGGCGACATTTCCGAGAGTTCGTCTTCCAATTTCTACATAGTAAATTATATATAGTAATTAGAGCAATAGTCTAGACCCATATTTGATTCGCGCAGTAGAATCGTTATAAATTATATAAAGGTATATATAATGGAAGTATATGAATACAACATCAAAAAGCTTGAAATACCTAAAATGACTGATATATACATATAATAACAGTAATAATAAGGCTTAAGTTGTCTATGGGCAGTACCCTAGAATTACAGCCAGTCCTAACACATTGATATTTCAATCAGACCAGTCTTTTTTCATTTTCCTCTAGACCAATTTACAGGTTCAACTTTATCGATACGGAAAATAGGACGACACACAAAAAATATCGGGATATTCTTAATAACATTCACTCACTTCCTCGACGCTCTTTCCTATGTAATTCAAATTAGATATAGCGGTATCGCATTGTTATATTCCTTAACAGAACGTATTTTTAGTGTGTTAAATTGTCGGCGATTCTCTCTACCACTTTCTACTATATAGCTAGGCTACTATATAGCTAGGCTACAGCTAGATAGGTAGACTAGCTAAATAGTTAGACTACGGTTTTTCGACAGAACTATGCTAGATGTACGCTTTTGTGAGGGCTTCTCGATCTCGCACCTCGAGTACCTTGAAGAGCTGCTCTTGACCCTTCGAAGTTCGAGCGGTTATTGTTGAATGCGGGGTGGCCACGAGGGACGGACACCGTGAATTCGAATATCCCTGACCCACAAAATAACTGAAATTTATGATAGATAAACAGCGACGGGAAAAGAAATTCATCTTGGTTAGTTGGCGGGTATGCTAATCACATCTTGAATAGGGCCCAAGTGTAGAAGTAATTCCTTTATGTCGAATCTCGATCGTACTAGTTTAACGAATAAATAAGCGAAGGGTGAGGTTCCTTAAATGTTTGTAATAGGGTTCACTAGCAGCCCATCAAATACAGGTCCCATCTGTGTCGCAAGCATAACTGATAGGTTTCGGCCATTAGAAAATGTTAACGGATAACAGTTGTAGAACGGATGTTGACTTTGTAAATTCACAGAATAATAAGCTCGTTATTTATTGAAAATTCAACGATTTTCATTGCGATTTTGGAGGATTCGACATGGATAAAAACAACTGTGAACAATTGGCCCACGTGTTGCAAGCTCTGGTGGTAAATACGCTCGTTAATGACTCCGTATGGGATAAAAGTTTCTTAGTAAACAAAAGAGTACATCGTTCAAACACGCCAGTCGTTTTCTAATAACAGAATTGACGCAGATCTTCCTGTTGAACGCCTGCCTGGCAAGACTCTACGCTTTCAGTAATCTACAGCTCAATCACCAGTGTCGACTCTCAACACACCTATTGTAGTTCTTTGCTGTTATAGGGAAGCAGACTTGTTGCCGCATGTCAACGTATCAGAACCAATAAAAATAAAAACAGGGAGATCGTCTTGTCGCAGATTGTTGCACCTCACGCACATTGTAGATTTGCATACCGTAGCCATTGCGGTGTAAGACAATGACGTAAGATCTGTATTTTTTTAGGCTGCAAGATTCGTCTTCATGAATATAATATACACCCACTATGGTTATGAGCAGTTGCGCTGCGCTGAAGTAGCTGCTGGGTTGCTGTCCCAATCGGCCCGCTGGTCTTCTTCGATTCTACTGGCGGCAGATGCGATGAGAAAATTTCCACATCGCCCCTTTACGGCGACAACAACAAGCGTGTGGTGTAGTGTAAACACGTATTAAACGCAAGCTCGTGGCTCTTACATATACGAGATGTTGTAAATTACATGTTTTTATAATACTGTGCTAGATTATGAGTCAGCGGCGGAGAATGTTCGCTAGTGAACATCACGTACGGACGGTAAACGCCACGCTTCAACGCGTGAGCTGCGTAATTTCGAAGCATTTCAGAGCTAAAATGCATCATGATACGTTGATCATATTCAGATGATTAGAAAATGAAGGGGATGTTTTGCTTGAGCAAATCTTCAATCGGCGCTTTTTTTTGTTTTTTTATAGAGCGTCGACGTTTAGCATCCAGGCGACGACTTTCTTGCGGTTACAATCAGGGAGCGTTTCATAGAAGAAAGTACAATTTAACGTGCTTTTTGTGTATGAGAAGAGGGCGTGCACATTCAGAACCTGAGCCGATAGGTCGATGTCAGAAGGAGTACAATGAAAATGCTAATAATCTAGTAATAATAATAGTCTTACGTAATAAGAGATTTACCAATACCGGATCGGTAGTCGGTAAAAGGATTTTCTATAAACATTGATTTCAAACAATGAAACTAAAACACTTCACCGATTAGTAGATGCTATATTTCTCGAGTCTGCAAGGTGACACGCCATGAGTAACAATGTTGCAAGATGGCGTACAAGGGAAACTGGGCTTTACTTCATTCAAAGCGTGTCATCCGATAGAGATAACGCATTCATTATGAAAAAATTACCTTAGAATTCGGGACAGCTTGCCACCTCTTTTCATTTCACACACCAATATAAAATCTGCTACAGGGGCGATTAGATAAGACGCTGGCGTTTACCTGTGTTCCAAACTTATAATAACGTACCTTTCTGTGCCTTCGCGCTTTCGGCCTTAGCCAAGCTATAAGTAAGCCCATATTGAAAAAAAACAAAAAACAATCCAAATTAATGTACATGTAGCCCTCTAATTAATTTTATCACTGGCCCATATTACCCATCATGTTATTTTTGCCTGTGCCAGAAATCGAAACATTTTTCACGTCCGTGTGCTTTCGCCAATATAAATAATCTCAGTAGGAATATATATATATATATACATTACAAACGAGATTGTTAAATGACTCACCGATAAGGGGTGTCGTAATCGACTTCGAGGATTGTCGAGAATCTCGAGGGCCAAAGGGTATCAACTACAGCCATTGTAGTCCCAACTACAAATGCGACAATTCCTGAAAAACGCAAAGTGGACCTTAAAGACAGGTACGATATCATCTACGCGTTAACCCCATATTAAATGTCTACGAAAAAAAATCGCAAACGAAGAAGCAATTGAGCCTCACAACAACGCAGCTGACGATACACTCTAATCATGTGTGATCCAAAGAATTCTGCTGACGCAACACGCTCCGCTTTCCAAATATAGCAGCTGCAATTTTGGCTGATCGATTGATTTGTGTATCCGTCATTATACGTTGCGTCACTTTACGCCATTCCACATCTCGCTGGTCTGCTGTACCGCAGAGCGTATCGTATTTAGGTTTTTGTCTCTTCTGTCTGTACGCTGCCGAACGAACCTTCAGAAACAGGGTCGTTACGAGAGGACCAAGTGTTGAGGAAGCAAGTCTGGTCCATGGGGTGGTTATTTGCGTTAGAACATTATAGACGGCTAGTAAATGACAGGGAATCTTGTTTAGTGCCCAGACTATCTTGAAAAATAGATAAAATAAGACCGATATTTAATTGCAATAAGTCTTTTGTAATAGTTTGCCGTACACTGATTCCCTTAATGAAATGATTTGTTGAAAAGCCGCTACGGAGCTATTGGCTATGGATCCTCCGCCCTGGAATCGTAGTACGGTTTACTATAACGTATGTATATCGGCGATTGACAGCTGTCCCTTAATGTATTTGTCGCTAAGTAGACGAAAACGCCACATTGGTACTGAAATAGTTGTTCCCTGTTTATACAAATATTTACAATGCATATATTCATAAAGTGTCTTTTTTAACTTGTTAAGAGGCTTTATTAAAACGATTGCAGAGATATCCGTCGTATTGGGAGGGCAATAATATCTAGGCTGATATATTATATTGAATTCACATAACCGTTAGTTAAAAAGTTCCACTAAATTACGTAATACGAATCTGACAATATTAGTTATCGTTTACAATATTTTTTTTTTTATTAGATAGAAACCAATAGAAACATATAAGCTGATGTCAAAATAGATCGAATTCTAATTGTTGCTGATTTTTTCAATAGGTGGTTACTAGCTTTTTTTTTTTAATCGCAGAGATTCCCTACGTCATAAGTGCCTATGGAAAACAGTATATCCTCTAACAATGCATAACTCTAGCTAGGCGCTACTAGAGGTTTTCAGTAGACAGAATTATTTTCGGCTTTACGCACTATCCGTCACACGTGAAAAACAGTCATCTCTCTATGGCAGATCTACTCGGAGCTAATGGCGCAGCGACGGTGTCCGATGCGAACGGACGCAGCTTTGGCGGAGAAGACATATCTATCGTACTCTAACAGCCTTGTATTTACCATGTCAGTTTGCATTTGTATCTCACTGCAGCACAGTCTACCCGTCTACTCTCAACGTTTCGTACACTCCCTACCCAATCCCTCCTTCTGTCAGTCCATCTTCGTGCTGCCTATTCTCACGTGCCAATTTCGCAATAAGCACCACCATCGTGTTAAAGCCGATGACAGCCTAGCATTCCATATAACTGAATTTGCTTGTCAGGTACTGCTGCCCTACAGCAGGACGCGTTAACCGGCATCCGGTCGACTTAAGCAATAGCTTCGCCGAACCTGGACCGCTACTGCCTTATACCCACGCCATACCAATGTCAGTAACATCGCAGCAGTGCTATCACCATTGTCGTCGGCTTTGCGACTTCTAAGCGGAAAAGCTAGAAGGTACAACAATAACTACACAGGTGACAGTCGCCGCATGTCAGCAATGCAATACCGCCAGTCGGTAAGACAGCAGACGCAGTCGCCGCCATAGCCATCGACACGGGAGCGACACCGAAGCACTTCATAGTGCTGTTGTCGAACCGTCACTCAGGATCGCGCACCTTGTATAGTCGGAAGACGCGTATAGTATATACGTCCCCGAAACGAACGGACGCATGTAGAGACCCAGGCTGTCAGGCAGCAGGGATCAATTGGCTTAAAACAGCGGTTTGCTTCGTAAAGGAAAGCGCAAATGGGCGAAAACAAAGCGGGGGGGGCTCATGTGTTGAGAGAGAGGAGAACATGTGTGCTAGCGCCATTGGTGGCGACTATCGTAACGATAGTGGCATTTCATGATCAAGGCCGTCCGATGGCCTTCCTTCTTTACTTCAGAATGCAGAGAAAGAAAGTGTAGCCGTTGCAGCTTCTTAGGGCACTTCGGCTCTTGCTACCTATTGCTGCAGGCATCTCCTCGCCATGAGCCAGTGCCTGTGTATGTCTGTTTTCCTTTCGCGTTTGCTTAGTGTGTGTATGTTTGTCTATCTTTTTTTGTTGCTACTAAATGGTAGACGTTTATTTATCTATGGACAGTTGCTATGGGGTTCTTTGTTATTGGGTTGCAACTGTTGTTGCTAAAGATGCGGCAGTTGTTACTGTCGGTGATGCTAAATTTTGCGCCATCTTCATCTGTTTGTCTCCTTTTTTATCGATTGCCTATCTACTCTAATGGGAAATGTCAACGGACGTTCCATTTCGACGGGTTTCATGTTTTGATGTTTGAGCGATTCTCGTGAAAGCCGTACTTACGATCGGTGTTATAGGGGGAGCGGCATAGCCGTGGCACGGGAGAGTGATGAGCTGATGTTTACAGTCGCGTTATACAATAACGGCTTGGGCAACAGTTAGCAAATAAGGTTTTAGGTAGCCAGGCGCACACGATATGATTCATATATAGCGACCAACCGATAGGTTGAACAAGGATAAGGTCAGATTGGGATACCTAGAGATTTCCCGTTTTGTCAGTCGACTGACTGCCTTACGTTCAATACGAGTCATGAATCGATCCTTTTTGTGTAAAAATTATTCAGTAATTGCTGCAGCGTTGCCAGTGGCGTGTTAGCCCGCTTTTCTTCTACCGATCATCGAGTTCCTAGTGGAGCTAATCTACGGGGAAGAAGAATACGCGCCTCATAACACGTGTGGCAACAAAACCTTCTGACGAGTTCAAGATACGAGTGCAAATCAGCGCTTCGACGGTCAACGAATACCACTTAGGCACAAATTCACGTACGAATAGAGATATGCGTGAACGCTTCGCTTGTGAGCTTAATGCCGATCACCTGTCATTATCCGTAACGGGTACTTCAACGGAAAGTAAACAGAGCTTTACCATGACAGTTTTGTCAGTACCACGCTGTGGCAGCCGAAACGCACTGTTCTTGTTGTTAGTTCCGCAGCCGCTTGAGGCGGTAGTTTGGACCCCGGGTAGTGAGACGTCATCACGCAAGCATCGCCTGCCAATGGCAGAATTTCTGTCATCGTTATGATACAGGCTATTGCTGCAGCGCCGGTGCCCTACAAATATTCGTGTTGATGTCTTGTTCCGCTTTACACTAATGGCGGTTTATTTTTAGCACTACCAGCGAAACACAGAAATACGTTTGCTGTCTAACCAACGATATCATCGATCCGACGATTGAGCAACTCCCTACTAGCTGCGCGCCCGCCCCATTCGCCCAGGATACTGCTCAGGGCAGTTATTGGTCACCAAAAGCCATTGCAATAGCGTGTTAGCAACGCTATATCCTTCAAAGGGGCTTTTCATGTAAGGATCACTGTTACACACACATATTGTGTGTGCGACTGCGATACTGGCATTTGCGTTAGTTTTCTAAAAGATTAAAGAGTTGCAGGTTGTAGAGGATCTGACAAGTTCTGTTTACGTATGTTCCCAAAGCATATCTGTATATGCCGATCCAAATGAAATTGTTATGAAACGTCGCTTCTATTAGAACTAACTAAGCCTTTTCGTATAGATTAGCGGCGGATCTTCAATTACTAACAAGATCGACTTCAATAGAATAACGGCGATCCGAAGATCCTGTCTGTTGAATCTTGGAAGATGACAAATTAGAAAACAGGAATCATCAATCATTGGTGTTAGCCAAAATAGAAGAGGTAGCCCGGTAGTAGGAGACACGTGTCATCTTTGTGCTGAAACGTAAGTCATACAACTGGGAATTTACGATCGAATCATCGAATTCCGCCCACAGAACCTTTAGATTGATACATCAGCTACGTGTCGTTGTAATCTATAATTTCGGGTTTGATTTTGACCTCCATCATGGTGCTCCATCCGGCCATTCGGTGATAGATAAGGCCTGATGCGGAAACGTCTAAAAACGTAGCGTTTGACAACGAATCAGCGGGCCCACTACGGAAAGATACCTTTGTCAAACGTGACGAAACTCTTCCGATACAGGATAACAGAACGAATCATCATTAAAATGTGACCACTGCCATGCATCAGTTGAAATAAGAGAATTCTTCCAATGTACCGGCATATCATATAGAAGAAAATTCAAAAATGAAGAACGACTCCAATAGCTTGAGGCAGAAACGTCTACGAATTCTAAATAGCCATTGAAATCAATGAGTGGAAACTGATAACGGATAGGAGGATGCTAGTTACAAATAGTTCATTTGTCAAATCTAGCCCAAAAGTGTTTATAACATACGCTTGTACTTTTATTGTGAAGGAAACTTTCATTGAATAACGAGAACACGAACGTTGAAGACAGCCGACATACAACTATTCCTTTAAAATTCACTGGGTTCACGAAGACGCCCTGGCAGTCAAGTCAACTATGAAGATATTTTCCTCCGATTTCAGCAGGCGTCTATGAATCCTTTCACCAACCTTAAAATATCGTCTTAACGGCATATGTTTCGAACGTCACTATATTGTGTCGACCCCTATCGGAGCAACGTAAGCCGCGTCTGAAACAGAAATTTTCCAGCGGTTATAAGCAACAGGCACTCACTGATCATTAGGTGCGCGCTTATATACGTCTCAAGGAATCACCTGCATGGTTGTAATACCAAGGTCAATTGCAAGTCTGATATGGTCTTTGGCTCGTCTCATCAGTGCTCAGAACCCCCACCTGATCGTATTTCGATGGCATGCCTACAGGATGCGGCATTTATTTCGCGTTCTTTAAATAAATAATTTTCGAAGACTTGCATCGTTTTTTTTTTTTT